CTAGTTAATAACTACATATTCAACCATGTAATAATTAGATTACTGTAATAATTACTCTCTCCAAAAAGTATTGCATTACTTATTACTTATTACTAATTACTTTATAAATCCCATATCAACCTCGACCAGCTGAACTATAAAAGGATATACTTGATCTTGATTCTATACGACTCTTTTAATTAAAAAAAAAAAATCATATAAAATTGCATACATTATTCTTGAACTGACCAAAGTAATTTAAAGGGAGAAGGTTACAATTACAAAAAACATACATTTTAACATTAGACGTAAAATTTTGATGTTAAATCTACTATTGTTTTATATAGAATTGTTCTATTGTCTATTAGTATTTAGTGCAATTACATCAAAAGTAACTGTAATTAAATGACAGAAAAATTCAAACTAATCCCTTACTCTACTTTTACAAGGGAAAGGTAATTAAATTACTGTAATTAAATAGTAATGCATTACACCCAACACTGGTGACATGTGACAGCGGTGTGATATGATATATTTTATCCCAAACTATTTAAATTGGTGTAATTATTTTATATTTGTATACATGCATTTTTATGGGCTAAATTCTTGGTGTTGACTTCTTGGTATTTGGCATTAAGGATGATGGAGAAAAATACATAGTTCTAAAAAATCGTTCTAAATATAAATGAATAGCAGAGTCTACACCACTACTATAATGATAATACTATAGAGAAACTATATATTTTAAAATAAACGTCCAGGACACTTGTTTTGTTTATCTCCAACTTTCTCCCAAAAAAACCTGAAACATTCCATGCCCCAAGAATCACCCAAATAAGCTTCTTTGAAAAGAGGCTTTAGGAGTGACCCCATCGATAGTGTTGAGATTATGTAACTATTCATCTGTGAACACAAACACAGCTGTTGAAATGCAGTAATAAGATATGTACCAGGGTATTATCGGATGCTGAATAATTACTTTGGTCATTGAGCTCCCAAATGTTTTTCTGATTATAAAATGAGTGGTTTAGTAGGATTTTTGTTTTTGTTTACATGAGCTTGCTGATCTAGTTCACACTAAGGCATTTTATTACTTTGTTTTGATGTGTAGCTTGTGTATATATTGCCCTTATGGGATAATGGATAATATGAATACTTTGTCATTGTATACTCCAATACATTTTTAGCTTTTGAAATCTTAGCTTGTTCATTATTTAAGCCTCAAAAATAAGGGTAATGTGAACATCAAATCGATACACACATTTATATGAAATATAAATATTTTTAATATTATAAATGTATTTTTCTAAAAAAAAATTAGCATCTTTGCTGAATAAAGGTATTCATTCCTTTCAAAGAAAAAACCTTATTGACCCTAAACGTTTGAAAAGTAGTGCATTTTATGTGCGTGTGACCTTTGGGGGTATAAATGATATTGTAAGTATGGAAAGTTTCCGTTAAACAGCACTGTATGCCAGGTTCAGTGAGCCATTGTCATTCTCCTAAAAATCTTGCTTGTATTGCTGGTTTCCTTGGCAGTCATTTCCTATTTGGAGCAGAGATCTCGAGGGAGGACCGCTTCCTGTTGGGGAGTGTGGGAACCTTTGGAGGCGGAGTACACGGTACACAGTCAACCACAGATATAGGACACAATCTTAGACCAGACGGCAGGCTGCACTCCACAACATGAATTTAATTACAGCATGCGAGGTCTGCGGAGTCCACAATCTGCTGCTGTCTATCCTTCTTTCCTTCCTTATTATTAGCTCATAAAGACATACTTAAAAAGAAACCTATTTGGAAGTGCTTTTTGAATAATTGGCTGTTTAGTGTCATCATTCTTATAAGGATTTTTAGTGCAGTGAGACAGTGGAGACTTTCAATTGCTGATTGCTTATAACCTTTAATTATGTAATTCATCAGATAATTATGAATCTTTATATCTTTTTAAAGCTTAATATTTCAAACTCAACAAGAACTGCAGCAACGATCCATAAATCCCTGCTCTGAAAGCGAGAGCAGTATTTTTTTTAAAATAGAACTCCTTGAAAATGGATTTGGGTGTGTTCAAGATGCAACAGATTGTTCCCTAGGGTGCTCGGAGACCAAGGCACTCCCTCGCTCTGAATGTTTTCGGCAGAGCGCTGTACAGTGAACACGGTTTCCAAGCCATGGCGTCTGATATCTTGCAGAAAAATCAAGGATAATCACTGCACTGGCTCGCTTCTCTTGCAGCCTCTGGACTTGTTTTGTTTTGCTCTGGGACCATGCTGAATCAGAATAGTAAAAAGTAAGTTTGGGAAATGGTTCTTCTTCCTGTTTTTATAATCTTGATGGCTGCGGTTCTAGTGAAAATTATTGTTATTAACACTGGGTTTGCTGGGATTAACAGATTAGCTGGAATGTTGGACTGTAACCTGCAATATAGAGGGGTTTTTTTTTACTGAAAACCTTGCGGTTATTTTGTTTTTTGATCATGATGTAGATATAAAGCTGAATAAAGCAATACAGTATCAGTTCCCAAAATAAATTCCATGTTCATCGTGGTCCAAATATAAGGTTCTATATGTGTGTGTGTGTGTGTGTGTGTGTGTGTGTGTGTGTGGTTCAGGTATTTCCTACGTTGTGGGGCATTTTTTGGTCTCCATGAGGAAAACATCCCAATGATGTTTTTTTGAAAATGTAAAAATGCGGAATGTTTTCTGTGAGGGTTGTGTGTAGGGTTAAGGCTTAGTTATTTCCTTGTTTAAATCCAAGATTTTCATTGTGCAAACAGTCTATACAAACATCGTTTTGTTTTCTTAAAATAAGTGCAAACAACCCAAGAAGAGATTTTCTGTCATTGTACACTTGTTCTCTCTTTTCATGTTAAGCTGATAAGAAAACAAAGATTTTTAATATACTTTTTTTCCAAACTCAACCTGTGTAAATCACTGAGTCATCACTAGCTCTCTCTGATTAGAAGAGCCCATGCATGGTCAAATAGAACAAGTTTGTGCCCATGCAGCTGTCTACTTGACCTTTGCATTATTTAATGGTGTGAATGTCTACTAATAGGTGGTTTTCAGTGATTAATGTTCCGGAAAGAATATTTTGATAACAATTCTACTTTCTTGTTTGGAGCAGCCTGTGGCTTAGCAGTTTACAGAAGTGCATTCATTGTGTGTGCTGATCATATAGATGTTGCAAGTTTTGCAACATTTAGCAATCCGTCCATCCATTATTTCCTGTGCTATAGTCGCTTTAAATATATATAAAATATTTTTTTTCATTTGTATATATAATATATGTGTAAATGATAGGGTCTATAGAAATTTCTCTCGCTATGAAGCACATATTTTTGCAGCCTTGTTGCACTTATCGGTCATTCTGTCAATGCATAAAGTAGGTTTCTTTGTCATTTTAGTCAATGTTTGGAGCAAACATATGTTCGCCTCGGGTCATTTGTGGATTTGCTGACACCACTGGCAGAGTCGCTAGAGGGACATTACATGAGTTTTAATATCAGCCTACAGTCCACAGTGTGTCATTCGTCAAACTTTTGAAAGCACACAGGACCAGAGAAGCACTTGCTTGACTTATCTAATACATGTCAGGAATGAACAGTGGAACAGGAAGATAATCTGGTCATCTTTCTGTGAGATTTGACTGAGATGAGTTTTTTTTACATAGTCCTTGACTGATGCTCTGTACATTCTTCAAAAAAAAAAATCCATATTTCTTGTTATTTTACACCCTATTCTGACTGTCAGGGACCATGATAGCAAAATGGGCCTTTTTTGAGAATTTTCCAAGGGAGTTTTTACAATTTCATAACTCATAATTTGATCTGCCATCTTTGTTTTCTGTTAGCAGCAGTGTCTCTGAGGCTGTGTAATTCCATCATCTGTTATCTCAACTCATTATCTAAGTACTCATTTAAAAAAAAAAAAAAAATCTATTCGGTTGCACATTTTCCTCCTTTCTGGGCTGTACTGAACTGTAATTGGCAGGATGAGCAGGACTGGCAGGATAAAAAAAAAATTCCAAGCACATTTTACCAATTTCAAACCACTTCAATCTTAATAACTACTATTAATTGTGTATTTAATCATTTATAAGTGATATATAATTGTTAAGGAAGGCTGGAAGTGAAAAACGCCTTATATTCAGGTGTGCATAATTATTAAGCAGGTTTTCTTTTACAGGTAAAATGGGCCAAAAAAGAAATGTAACTCGCACTGAAAAGTCAAAAACTATTAAATGCTCATGAGAAGGAATCAATACTTAACTAGATACTAATACTGGAAATGGCAAAATTAAGGCGTGACCAATGGACAGTAAAACGCCATTGGTTCAGCAGAGTCATACAAAAACAGACCAAGAAGAAAAGAAAATTAGAAATGAAGGTAAAGGATTAGGTGTGAGTCTCTCACAGACAGCAGACTTCATTTGCTCTCTCTCCTAATCTCATTATTGTCTAAAAGAAACAATTAAGAGATGTTCTTTCCTAAGGAAACGTGGAGAAGACAAGTCACACATCCAGTAAACACTTCCTTTTCACCTTTTAATTTGTGTATGTGTGCTACTTCCTTTTTCATTTTTGTGGCAGTATTAGTCAACTCATCACGTCCTCAGTGGTTTCGTTCAAACAGTCCGAGTGAAGGTCAACCACCTGGAGGGCAAACTTTGTTTTCCATTTCCTATGTGAGAGACACCTCACTTCCAATTAAGCGACACTACTTTTTGATGGCTCATTACAGCTTGCTGAAAACGGCTCATGGCCTCATCATTTCCCAGGCTGCCGCCCCTAGGATCTTCGTCAGATACTGTATGCCATGACGAGGCCTGAAAGCTTTGGCTTTTGTGTGCGATGCAGCAGAACCGCTGAGCAGAAATCAGCAGCTCCTGCTGTGCTCACTAGTTTCAGATCACATTGCATCTCACTTCTAATAAACTACAAATGCCTGTTCGACTCTATTGGATGCTTGTAAGAAACCTAACCTTGATGCATGTGTTCCTCTCTTCCTGTTTCGCTCCAGTAGATCCCATCTGATGCCGAGGCTGAAGGAATCGCGGTCTCACGAGTCGTTGCTCAGCCCCAGCAGTGCAGTTGAAGCTCTAGATCTTAGTATGGAGGAGGAAGTGCTCATCAAACCTGTGCACAGCAGCATCCTGGGACAGGATTTCTGCTTTGAGGTGAGTCGGCTGATCTTACTGCCCTGTTGAACCCACAGCTCTGTATTAATTGCGAAAATGACTTTTAATGTCCGACAAGTCTCAAAATAGCACGCAGCAAAGGCCCATTAAAACTTCATCAAGGCCATTAGCTGAAAATAGCAGCGCTATCTAGCTGCTCCACAGTTAAATCATTGAGGGGCCACGGGTCAAGTTACTGGATGATTTTCACGTGTGCTACAGGGAAGCCTCACTTAAACCAGATGCTTATAATTACAAGGTCAAAGGGTGCAGACAAAGAAAACTATGATCTGGTATCAGCATGCAGGTTTCCTTAAAGGAATAGTAACTCACCTCAAAATAAATAAATATATATATATATATATATATATGTATTTTTTTTAGGGCTGTCAGTTAAACGCGTTATTAACGGCGTTAACGCAATCCCATTTTAACGGCGTTAATTTTTTTATCGCGCGATTAGCGGTCTTTTTGGCCTAGCAAACTTTGTAGTTTTTTTCACATGCTTTTGCAACAGGACGCGGCATGCGCGGCGCTGCGCTATGAAACCCATTCATTTCAATGGCTTGCGCCGCGTGAGGACGTTTTGCTTCGTCGACCAAAGCGCAAGCGGATCTAGCTAGACCGGAAACAAAACAACAGGCACGACGCCGGCGCCGCACACACTTGTTTAGGCTTGTGAGCCGGCCAAATAGTAGGTTAACGTTATGTTTTGAGTGGATGACAAGCGCGAGACGCCGAAATGGATGCCAATAAGATTCTGAATGGAAAGTTTACTTTTAAAAAGTTGCCAAATGGTTCCATTGACAAGACCAAAGTGATCTGTGTGTTTTGTCGTTGTGAACCGAGCTATCATCATCGCAGCACGTCCAGTCTGAAATACCACTTGATGGCCAAGCACACACACACACACACACAGCTGATGCGAATTCTCCGCCCCCTCGTCAATATCAGTACCTCGTCAGTATTTCTTTCACCCTTTTATTGATGGACAGTGTTACATTGTGTGAGAGGTTATTTGCTCCTAGTGAGAATGTTAGTGTGAAATTTATCACAGTATATGCCAATGTTGTTTTCAATAAAAAACATTTGCACAAAGCAAGCCGATCCACTTTTCCATGTTGAAAAGAGCATTAAAATGAGAAAAAATAATGGGACAAAAAGAAATCAAGAGACATTTAGAAGAGATAAAAATGTGCGATTAATTGTGATTAAGCGCGAGTTAACTATGACATTAATGCGATTAAATATTTTAATCGTTTGACAGCACTAATTTTTTTATGTAATATTTCAAATGTTTAAAATAAAATAAAATGTACATTTTTATAATATTTTATAATATTTTTTTATATTAGTAATAGTTACTCACCCTCATACACTTCCAACCCTGTATAGTTTCTTTCTTCTGTGGAACACAAAAGGAGGGATTTTGAAAATGTTCATGCTGCTCCACAGGCTGTCAAGCTCTAAAAAGCACACAAAACTACCTTCAAAGCCACTTTGTAACAGTTACTTTGAAACAACAAGCTAATCATAATTTTAAGCAGTTAAACTACAGTCATGCTACTGTTTTAGATTAAAAATAGCTAAATACTGTACTTTAAAATTACTTAAGGAGCAATATGTTTTGCACTTTGCACTTTTTTCGGAGCCAATGTAATTAAATCTAGATTTAAATTCAAATCGACAAGATAGTCTATGCATGACCTGATGTTTTATTTTTTATCCAAAACGAGGTGATGTGAACATTATGGAACACTCTCATGCAATGTCTGTTTCATAGCCAGCAGCCATATCACCCTGTAGCCCAAGACTGGTTTCCCACTGAAGTAGCAGGGTTGAGCCTGGTTAGTACCTGGATGGGAGACTCCTGGGAAAACTAGGTTGCTGCTGGAGGAGGTGTTAGTGAGGCCAGCAGGGGGTGCTCACCCCGTGCTCTGTCTGGGTCATAACGCCCCATAATGACGGGGACACTATACTGTAACAAGCACCGTCCTTCTGATGAGACATTTAATAATCGAGGTCCTGACTCTCTGTGGTCATTAAAAATCCAATGTCCTTCGAAAGAGTAGGGGTTTAACCCCGGCATCCTGGTCAAATTTGCCCCTTGGCCTCTGTCCATCATGGCCTCCTAATAATCCTTATATTATATAATGATTGGCTTCATCACTCTGTCTCCTCTCCACCAGTAAGCTGGTGTGTGGTGGGAGCTCTGGCGCAATATGGCTGCCGTCGCATCATCCAAGTGGATCATGATGTACATTGTTGGTGGTTGGGGAGATTCCCACCTTCTCTGTAAAGCGCTTTGAGTGCAGAGAAAAGCACTATATTAATGTAATGAATTATTATTATTCATACTGGAAGTCTCTCGCAGAAAGTCCAAAATGGAGTCATAGAAGTAATAACTTGTGATGTTCCAGAAAATCTCTAATATGGACAAGGCATCCAGTTATCACTGTAGCTGAATAAAAAGCAGGAACATTTTGACTTATAAAACCTAAAAACAATAAACACACACTTGCACCACACAATATATGGTTTATGTGTGTTTTTCATAACAATAAAGTATGCTTAATGCAGTGCTAATCAACATAGCCTTTATTACAGTATAGAAACTATATACTACAAATTATTGGTTATTGTTCAGCACTGTATTTGATTCCTTAGCCAATTAAAAGCAAGAGATAGGAAAAAATAAAACCAGTCAAAAACAACTGGGATTACACTTGACATTTCTGTCCCCCTCACTTCTGAAATGATGGATTTTTTTACACCCCTGGTGACAGTTAACTTGGATCAGGCATCTGCATGCAGATCTTAAGATCAGAAGGGCCTTCCTGTCTCTTTGCATCCCCTGCCCGATAGGGTGCGAAAGAGCCTGTCCCATCTGTCTGAACATCTCCTCTCATTCTCTCTCTGCTCACTAGCGGTGAGTTTCGAGAGGCCAGTTCACATGGAGCTGATGACTGTTACACAGCACCAGACGCCAGCTGGAAAAAATGAGACAGTTAGTAGGAGTTCTGCAGGGGTCAGCCAGAGGTCCATGGACTATGCTGTTTTCTCTGTTTATTCAGTCATTCAAACTACAATTATAACAGTCAAAATTATAAATTGAATTGGACTGCAATTCAATATATCACAAAAAGTCTTAAATGTTAGTATTTTTCTACTAGACATAAAAATTTAAGGTGAGGTCTTAAATCTGATCGAAAAACATGTGCGTTTAGGTGTAGCACCAAGTCTTTGGTAGTAGCCTACCCAGTTCGCAACTTGACTTTGTTACGTAGGTTTTTTTTTACGTAGTACGTCACAGTGATGTACGTCACAACTAATGACAGCGATGAAGCCAAGCAATTTATGCTGCAAGACGTTAATTAGGTGCAATGGGAATGAAGGCAAATTAATTAAGAATTATTTAGATTTTTAGAATTAGAATACTGTCTCAAAGAGGTAAAAAAAAGTCTTAAAGTCTTACGTTTGATTTAAAATTAAATGTGCAGCAACCCTGTTTACATAAAAGCTGTTTTTTAGCAGTTACTTCATTTAAATATTGCAGTTACTTATTTTGTATTTACATTTATTTTTGTAGGTTTACAATTACTTATTTAAAAATCTAAAATAGATATAACTTAATTTTGCCCATATTATTTATTTTAAATTGTATTACATTTTGCTATTACTTTTTAAAATATTTATTTCAAATATAATTCAAAATGAAATATTACTTTATTTCGCAATTGCTTCATTTTTTTTTTTTTTTTTTTTTTTACTATATTCAACAATTACCTCTTATTTCTAGTATAATTTAAATGAATATATTACTAAAATATTACTTAATGTTTCCCTTTTTTAATATGAATGAATTTTATTTACTTTTTTTATTTAATATTTATTACTTAATTTTTTGTAATTACTTATTTTAAACATTTATTTCAAATAAAATGTAAATGCATATTTAAATACAAAAGGAGTCAAACGCAGATAGCACCTGGTTAAACTGGATGGGTTTTCAATTATCATAGCAATGTTTGGCTGCATTACAGCATGCAAAAGTATTGCAACTGTTTAGTGAATTCACCTCTCTGTATTCAAACGTACTTTTGTAGTCACCTGGATGGTGCAACTGTGAACAGATGGTCTTTTCAGATTGAATTTTCGATATAAAAAGAATATTTGTAAAAGGCCTCCGCTTGTATCACTTTTCTCTGATATCACATGTGATCCTGCTAATACATTTGATTTAAGTGCATTCTGTCTGATTGGGCTATTTGATAGTTTTATTCTTTCTTCAAATGTAATTGTTCTCCACCCCTGGGAAACGCTTCATTGATTGAGTGCTGTAGATTTCTCTGCTCATGTCCACCATCTGCCTGATCTGCATTACATTCCTTTCTAGCTCACTTCATGCACTTATCTGCAAATTGTAACAATTGTAATCTGTAATTGCAGGTAACTACTTCAACAGGAAGCAAATGCTTCTCATGTCGATCGGCTGCCGAGAGAGACAAATGGATGGAGAATTTGAGACGTGCCGTGCATCCCAACAAGGTAGACTGGATGATTCATCTGAATCCTGTGTAATTCTAGACGAGATGAGGTTTAAGCCAGTCAGCATGTTACTTTTTCATATATCCTGTCTCACATATTGACTGTTTCTGATCGACTTCTCTGCATTAACCGGGCTTAACTTTTGAAAGTACACACGGGGGTTATCTTTCTTCAGCTTGCAGAGGCCGATGTAACATGCAGTGTTTTCTTTTTTCATATTCCACAGGATAACACCCGTCGGGTGGAAAACATGCTGAAATGTTGGATTATCGAAGCCAAGGACTTGCCGGCAAAGAAAAAATACTTCTGTGAACTTTGTCTGGATGACACATTATATGCACGGACTACCTGCAAACTCAAAACGGACAATGTTTTCTGGGGCGAACACTTTGAGTTCAACAACCTGCCCTCAGTCAAGAGTATCACTGTGCATCTTTACAAGGAAACAGATAAAAAGAAAAAGAAGGACAAAAATAATTACGTGGGCCTGGTCAATATCCCCATGGCGGCGGTCACCGGGCGACAGTTTGTGGAGAAATGGTATTCCGTGAGCACGCCGAATCCCAACAAAGGAAAGAGTCCGGGACCTATGGTCCGAATGAAATCCCGATATCAGAGCATGAGCATCCTTCCCATGGAGCTGTACAAGGAGTTTGCAGAGTATATTACTAACAATTATATGTTGATGTGCTCAGTGCTGGAGCCAGCTTTAAGTGTGAAGAACAAAGAAGAGATGGCTTGTGCACTTGTCCATATCTTACAAAGCACAGGCAAGGCCAAGGTAAGACAATTGTGTTGTATGCTTCTCTGTCTCTTTAAAGTCAACTTGAAATCAAAATTAACCCCCATTTACTTTATAAATGCAGATTCCTGCTCTTATTGGTGCACATTATTTCAAAGAAAACTGATTCTGTCCAGACCACTATCGTCAAAGAGGATTGACAATTCACACAGTTTGAATTTGTATGGTTTAAGGCTGCACAATATATCGAAATTATCGAAATATCGCAAATGTATATCGATATGCATATCGCAACAGCTTGCAATAACTGGGGTCATGAAAAAAAGACAAAGAGAAAATCACTCACTTGGCTAAATAACTTTTGTAGCTTTAATAAGAATCAGTATATTTTATTTTATTCATACAGTGTTTTATTTTTACATTTGATTATTCAGTTTCTGTTGTTAAATAAACCTAATGTAGGCCTACCTTAAACCCTGTGGTTTACACTGATTTACACTTCTTATGCTACACTAAAACACTGCTGTTCACTTTCAGAAGTTATAGTGATGTTTTCTTGTCAAAAACAGATTGTGAAACACGTATGTAGGTTATATAATTTTAAATATATTTTAAGGATAATTCAAGTTTATTTAACACACTTCATAGTATCGCATATCGAATATCGCATTATTTAAGTAGTTATCGCATCTCGCATTTTTCTTCAATATCGTGCAGCCCTAGTATGGTTCTGTTCTTCTGACCTAGGCAAGAACTCATGCAGCCTAGCATGGATAAGAGCATGGAGAACAGCGATAACCCCCCTTAGGGTAAAAGAACTGAACCAACATAAATGTTTTGCAGATAACAATCATTTAATATGCAGCATAATTCAAGAAAAATTTGTCTGGTTCAAAGAGGAATATCAAAAGGCCAAGTCCTGACTGGACGAGAGGAGGAGCTGGGGATGGGGGAGGGTAATTAGCTCCTGAGCAACGTGATAAAGCTGCTGATAATACTGAATGGGCTTTATATATAGGGATGCTGTGATAGGTGTCGTATTCCTATACAGTAGGTAGACGTGGATCTGCTGAGAGTCCTCTGATGCGAGCTTGACTGACGTGACCTGCCAGAACTAACTCTACACTTGATTTTCATGTTGACTTCAAAAGTAAACGTGTTGATTGACTGTATTCTAGGAAGATTATTTAATTATAGTCTCTCACGGATGCTGTTTGCTGGCAAGCGAACGAGAGGGTGACATGACGTCGAGATAAAAGACTCAACAATCATTGTGCTATATTGAGTTCAATAGCTGTATGTTATTTTGGATGTTGTCTTAGATGTGTCTTGAAAGAATAAATTCATTTTTTTCTTCTTAAAATGAAGCATTTGAACAGCTGTGAGTGTTACTAAAAAAAAACACAGCACAGAACGTTCTAGCCCTTACTCTAAACGCCACCAAATGTCCAACTGCGAAAAGCGTCATTGACAGAGAAGAATAATAGAGACGTGGCCCGTTTTCCCTCATTTAATCACGGGAGTGCTGAGCGCTATGATTGCCCTCATTAAGTTGAGCACGAACAGCTCTGATACTCGCCATAAATCAGCTGACATCACACACAAAAGCCCACCGTCTGACGCTTTGTCACTCATCTGTCATTATTGATCAAATGCTGCGAGAAAAGAGTTGTTTTGTGATTGCTTTTTTTGCTGCAGCACTCTGACGCCAATCCGAGGCATTGTTGCATCATAATGGACCCGTTCAACAATGTGCCGTCCAGTTCTCTAGTCTAGAATATGCGATCGCATTATTGTTGAGTGCCACTCTAGGCTTATTTGGGATTTGAGTCTGTGCAATGTAATAATACAACCCCTAAGCACAATGTGTCCTGTGTTTAAATGTGCTCGATGAGAAGTACCCTGCTTTTTGGTGTTTATGTTCCAGGTTGTGTTGAATGAAAAATTGATTCTGTCCTTTTCAGCAGGCCTAATCTGTTACTTTTTCAACATATTTTCATCAAAACGCACAATTCAAGCTCTTAAGTGCCAGTTTTTGCAGAACACTTATATCATTTTTCAGACAATCAACGAAGTGGCTGGTCTGTCATTACAGCAGAACTTTAAGTCAATAAGGCCACAGTCTTTCATTATGAAGCAGTTGATTGGTCAGGGACTGCATTGTCTCTCATTATACAAGGCCAGAGCTGGTCAGCCAGTGCATTGTCGTTTATTAGCTGAAGCCTGGTTACTGTAAATAAAGTGCATTGATTTACTCCCTAGATTCCACAGCTTCCTGTCTTTGTCTGCAGGTCTGCATGAATTCAATAATGAATACTAATTAGCTTGATTATGTACTGATAGCAGATGATTGAAATAATATCTAACTGTATGGGGCATCTCGTTTTAAAATTGAATTGTAGAATGATGAGCTCTCCATAATGTGTTGTCATATTTACCTTTATTGATCTAATAAGCAGCTATCAAATTTGTAAAGTAGTTTTGAAAAGCCAATGCATTTGAGTTTTACTTTATTAATGTATCAAACATCTTTTGATGCTCTTAACTCTAACTCTGAATGGTAAATATTTAAATGTCCATATACAGTATGTATTTAGTATAAAATGCATACAATATAGTGTGTCTGTGTTATATTCTGAATATATACTGTACTGTATATAGACATTTGAAGCATTACTGATACAATTTACATATTTACATTTAAATGCTTTATTAAAAATGTAACGTGTTAAGGGTTAAACAGTGTTAAAAATGTAAGGGTGTTAGCCAGATGGGGGAGATTCACGATTCTAACCCCACATAAAGAGCCAATGTGTCCGCTCAGGGTTTGTCCCGAGGGAAATTCCAAGTGTCAGGCCTCATGCTAATCAGCTTTTATTAATTCAGCCGTTGGTTTAAGGGCCAAACAGGTTCATGTGATCACGCACAGTGAAGAATTGAGCTGTAATGTGCAAGTCTGAAAGATTATTTATCAGCAGGGCTGTGCACTAGGGAGGCGGGGCCTGTGGGACAGGGGTCATTACTGGATCGCCTCTGAGGGTGAACGGACTCTCAAGAGCACACACTGCCATTTTAACAAGTCACTGCTTACTTATTCATGCCTGCCTCAAACCGCTGTAAGCGTGAAGCTTAAACAGAACATTAACAACCCTTCCTCAGGCTATTGGACAGCAGGAAATGTGTGAAACATGGATCATATACATACCATAAGTATCATAATGAGTGTATGGCCTATGTGAATACACAGCATTTTAAGATGGCCACAGATTTCAGTTTTATTGGTTGTGTATAATGAAAAAAAAAACATGCAGCAAAAACAAATTGGTTGTGTCAGGTTTTACAACAGACTGAGGTTTACATCATTTCATTTTAGGTGAGCTGATTTTTATTTATTGTTTTGCTCTAGTTTAACACACACACACTGTGTGTATTGTACCTGTCTGCTTTTGAAAAATGACAAAAATAGAAATTTGTGAAATAGCCAAATTATAGCATAATTATTTTATTTTTTGTGTGTTTTTGTACAAGTTGCCACAATGATGCTGAGGTGTTTTGGGCGGTTGCCAGGGGTGTTTCTATGTAGTTGTTTCATTCTGAGTAAATTATATTGTGTAGCTATGTTGTTGCTAGGGTGTTCAGGGTGGTTACTAAGTGTTTACTTAGTGTACCAAATTAAAAAAACCCACCCTCAAATGTCTGTGATATAAAGTCTGTAGCCCTGCGTCTCAATGTCCACACTATAGTATCCATTCTAAACAGTATGTGAGATTAAAATAAGTGTGTCCCAAAGCATAGTATGTTGAAAAGAGTATGCCAGAAGTCCCCGGATGGTCTACTATTTCCGGTGGATTTTCGAAGTGTGGATCCATGCACACTATCAGCTAATATTACCGTACCCACAACCCATTGCGCTTTGGAGGAGGAATTACAAACACGAGTAAAAAGTGTTAAAAAAAACCTACATAACATGGTGGATATGTGCGACCGACGGTGAGAGGTTTAGATAAAGGTTTGAGTGACTAATCAAAGTTTAACCTGATAGAAAAATATTTATTTAATGTTATCCGTGTTATATTTCATCTGTAATAACAATGTGGACTTTTATAAAGATCCGTTTGACCATTAACCTTTTAAATGCGTCATTATGCATGAATATGAGGAGAGTGACATGAAAGACCCGCGACTGCAGATCAACGCTTCTGCATTTCTCTCCGATACGGTAGGAAATGCAATGTAGAGGATTTTGACTTGTGACAAGATGATTGACAGGCCAGTTTACTGTGACAGAATGCGACAGAGAGCAACCATTAAAGACGCAATTGTATGTAGTATGTATGTCCCAAAGCTTGTCTACTCTTCTGCTACACACTCAAAAGTGTGCACTTTTTCTTCACAAAAAGAGTACATACTTTTAGGGCGTAGTATAAGTAGGCGAATTGAGACGCAGCATAGGCCTGTTTTTTTTTTTTGTTCTCCAAGACAAAAAATTGCATGTTTCCTTAGAAGAGTGAAACCAGAATGGGTTATGTGGGTTAAAGTCTTTCTTCAAATCTCCCTCTTGCTCGTTCTCTCTCCTCCATCGTCATACGCCCCCTAATGCTGATTGGCTATCGCTTACCCCACCTTTAACTGGGCACCACTCATGCAACCTAATCAGACCATGCGACAACAATACTACCTTGAGCATTTATAGCTGGATACTGTTTCAAATGCATTGTTTGCTTAAAAAATAATACGCATTACACAGTGTGTTCTGCCTAGTATCCAGTAAAACCTGCACTAGTACTCCATATTTCATAAAACCCTATAGTTTTTTGCAGATTGTGGTGCTAAGCTATAGACAGGCATGATGGGATGTGACAGGCGAGCCGAGGAAGATGCACTGCACTCGATAGTGTCTGATTAGTAGTGACTACGGATAAGTCTCATCAGCGAGCGGGCGCTGAGTGCAGCTCACTGTGTTAAGATCTTGCGTCCTAATTGAATACCGAGTGCTGTGACTGCTGCCAAAGACGCAGAGCTTTTCCAGAAACTGGGTCTCATTTGATCCTCTCGGTGTCATAACCACAATGTACCTCTGCCTGACTGGGAAGAGAACAGCTCAGATATGCCCTTATCACCTGATCCCACCGGTGATGGTTTAGAGAGCTTTGTGCGGTACAGTCTTGTTCTTGTTTATATAAGGTGTAATATATAAGGTGCAACTGTTTCGATTGTTAATGGACACCTGCTTAGGAGACAAAATCCTCTGAAGGGTGCTTGTGGAGACGTGCAATAATGACTCAGACACTATCTCTCAAAACACAGACATACATCTGCTGCAGATCATTGATCACACGCCAGAGCTGAAATCAGCAGAAATCACAGCCAGCTGTAAACACACACACGTCCGTGTCCTTTACGGAGATTCTGTTGACAGCAGTAGCACAGCACCACCCACATGGATCCTTCGTCTCTTTTCATAGGATGTCACCAGATTGTGTTTTTGATTCTGGTGGAATCTGGTAAATAGCAAGACTGTGCTTGTCCACAAGCCCTAAACCAGCACTAACCAAAATCAGTTTAATACTGCCTAATCATATTTAATAATCATTCATTTTTTAATCAACACTTTTTGGGGGCCAAAAAGAGAACAAAAATTCCCCTTTCACCCCTTATATTATTCATGGTAATTATTGTGAAAAATAGAACATTATGAATATATAATGACATTATAACTGGCTGAATGCAATTTTAATTTTAGCATGTTTTTTTTGTTTGTTTTTTACATTTTCAGCATCATTCTAAAATGAATCAAATGCTTTTTAACTTGTTAAGCTTGAATTGAATTTGATTTGGAGTTGAATTTGAATTTGAACTGGAACTAGTGCTGAAATTCAAAGGAATTAGATTTATTTAAAGTAAAAAATAAATATAAACAGAGATACAATCCTTACTAATAGGGATATTATATGCATTTTAAGGCTTAATATTAAGAAATTTAAAAAATTTAGGATTTGTACTATACTTAGTATTAAATAAATGTATTTTAAAAACATTTTGGTATAGGTTTATTTCACTAAGCCCAATAACGGTCATTTTAACAAGAAAAAGGAACATTTGACAAGGATTGAAGGATTACAGTTTTTACAGACAGACAGCTTTATGGGTAAAGGTCATTATGATGATTGAATGCCATTACCTAACGATTTCTTAGAATTGCAATTCAGTAAATTACACTTCCTGTCATTACTCTAAATTCCAAACTGCGTGCATGCGTGCGTGTGTACAAAAGAAAAAGTGCACAGATGCCATTGTTATTCACTTAAGATCTTCCCTTCTGGCATAGCTCTGAAATCTTATTTAAACTTGGCGAGTACAAAACACTTGACATGTTTGACATCAATGACAGTTACAGCAGAGGACTAATTAAAATTATTACAAAATATTGTATGGCTTTATAAGACCTGAAGTGTAGTGTGCAAGAGTCTTCTTAACTGTTAATGGTGCTTTTTTGTCATTTTTGGGGCTCTGAGTATCCTCTAAATAAAGCCTGCAGAGTATAAAGGACCTCTCACACAGGGGCCACATGAGTCCAAATCATTAGCATGTTTACTCGTAGGCTTCGGAGGCTGAAACTGATTACAGAGGCAGTGAAGGCGGAGCTGAGACATGGGATACGCATCATGAGAGAGGAAAAACAGGAAGTTAGGGAAAGAATATTGCAATGACACCCAGGGTAAATTTCATTGAACTATACAATGTCCATTATCCCACAATCAATACACTATCACGGAGTATGAGTCATCTCCCCAGCTGGATATCCATAACCCTCTCAATCTGTTACACATTCTGACTGGAGCTGCTGTGTGTCTTCAGTCGATAGTGGCACTCCTAGACTCCAAATAAAAAGCCCCTGAGTCTGGCCTATTAGATGATTTTGCTGTTTTCCAGGTCATCCAGTCAGACACCCGGTTCTGGATGGTTCAAAATCAAACTTGGGATTTCAAAAACAGAGTGATCAAAGATGGGGGAATAAGGGAGAAAAGCAAGCAACAGACCAGTAGCACAGCAGACGCGAATACAACTTTTTTCTTTCGAGTTTCATTGCTTGTATAAAAAGTCTGCATGATTTGTGTTTCTTTTTATCAGTTTTATATACAAAGACAACTATAAGTAATGTTGATAAATCGGTAACGTTTTTTTTTACAGTCCTGTTACCCATGTACTTACTATGTACTTATTATAGTAATTATAATTACTGGGTAATAACTAGGTACTAACCCTGAAACTACCCCTAACCCATGTACTTACCTTATATTAGCCAGTACTTTCTAGGTAAGTACACTGTAAGTACACGTAAGTACTGTACTGTAAAAGGAAGCGTTACCGATAAATCAAGCATCCTGACCAGCTTGATACAGTAACATTTGCTCAACCAGATGAGATTGGGCGGGACTATCTGTTTGTCTGACCAATGAGAGTCAGGGGGAGTGTCCAGGAAAACCTAAGGTTTCAGTCAGGGGTCCTTTTCAAACAGTTTGACAACAAAAGCTGAACACTAATAAAGACATTTTAATGTGTTGTCCCCTCAGGACTTTCTGACAGATCTGATGATGTCTGAGGTGGACCGTTGCGGAGACAATGAGCATCTCATATTCCGTGAGAACACACTGGCCACTAAAGCTATAGAGGAGTACCTGAAACTAGTGGGACAGAAGTACCTTCAGGACGCTTTAGGTAAAAACACTGACTTTGTGTACATGTCTCTGTGAAATGTATATTTATTTAATTGTCATTGAAATTAAAGCAGTCCGATCCTTTCCTCACAATTCCTGTTGGGATTTTAGACCATCAAATATGCTTGGGAGAATCAAGAATCAATAATTTACTGCTTTTTTTTTGTGTAGTCTGTGTTTTTGAAGTTCTGTTCAATTATTTAAGATATCAAGTCGAATATGAGCACACAATCGAGTGCGGAGGGAAAGCTTTAGGCTCGGTTTCCCTCAGAAGTGCCTGTTTGATGCTGAGAAACTACTTTTAAAAGTTTAGTCATTGAGAAAGTGTTGAAGCTTACATCAACAGCATAGTTTCAATCATTATTTGGTTAATTTTCGAGCATTACAAAATTAAAGGTGCAATAGGTGATCTGGGAAATGCTAACTTTAGCCTGCTAGCATACGATCCCACCCTCCCTTCAAATCGCCGTCCAAAGCCACGCCTCCCCCTAAAACACATGAACGCGCACAGACCAGAAGCCAGACGATCAGAGACAACGTTATTGTATTAGATCATTTGTCATTCACCGGTGAGAAAACATTACAGTACAGTGAGTCAAAGTACTACAATAACGAACGTAAACAACTGTTTGCCTGCCATTCTCGCTCTATCCGCACAGCGTGTGTGAACGCTGATGACGTATGATGTCTGCGTGAACAGGCTGTGCAGTGGTATGCAAACACACGTTGACTGACAGGGAACACATGCTATCATTTTATTCGGACCGAATGCAATGATTGAACGAACATTTTATGGTCCTACCCCCTCCATAGACTATATATATGTATATAAATACATTTAGACCGCTTAACATAGTGATTGCTATCAGGATGTGAAGAGACTTTCAACCAGCAAGCATAATAAAAAATGTTTCTGTGGAGAATCACCCATTGCACCTATTGAGTCAATGATTAATTTCCAATTTATTCAAGTACATTATTTTAAACCGCTTTAATAGTACTATTCTTTTCTAATGATAAAGTTTTGTTACTTTAGCATTAGCTGTAGTTTTAACATTTGACCAGCAGCACAGTACTGGGGTTTTCTGCATTGTTTACTTTCTTTGTTCCAGGAGAGTTCATCAAAGCTCTGTATGAGTCAGACGAGAACTGTGAGGTGGATTCGTCTAAGTGCTCCTCCAGCGACCTGCATGAGCACCAGAGCAACCTCAAGATGTGCTGTGAGCTGGCTTTCTGCAAGATCATTAACTCTTACTGGTAATGAGATCAAATTCGCCTCTCATATCAGCATCTGCTCACAGCTCATAATGGGATTTTTTTCTATTTGGAAATGCTTCATTAATTGGTTTAAAATGGGAAGTTCCAATATTGAATACTGATTGGTCAATATGAAGTTCTAATTATGCTAAAATACACAACATAGTTCACCATTACGCGTATATGATCGATTTACTTTACTTCCTTTCTTATGGATGAGTGATAGTATACATCATTTTATATGTAAATGTTCTTCTCATATATTAGTGATTATACTAAATAATTTAAATGTCAGAAACTATTACATTAAAATATTATTTTATATATATATTAAATACTGTATATTTAAATTATGTAGTATTAATTTTATATACAATTATAAATGTATTCATATAGTAAAGTGATTATAGTAACCATAGAGATTTTACTAAGTAATTTAAATGTCATAAACGATTACATTAATATAGTATTTTATGTGTATTATATATATATATATATATGAAATATATTAAAATTAGGTTTAATTTATTCACAAATATAAAGGTGTTCATATAAATATGACTACATTTCAAGATATGTATTAAGAAAATTAAATATATATCATATTTTTTTATTAAAGGTATTTAAATTATATATATATTAGTGCTGTCAAATCGATTAATCATGATTATATATATATATATATATATATATATGTGTGTGTGTGTGTGTGTGTGTGTGTGTGTGTGTGTGTGTGTGTAGTATACAAATATAAACAAACACACACACACACATATATATTTTATATATATATATATATATATAAATATAATATATACACATATTATTAATAAACAAACTTTTATTAACATATTTGATAGCACTAATATATATATATTGATTTCAATGTAAGTCACTTTGAATAATAAGCATTACAAATAGATTAATATAAATGCTGAATAAAAACATGCAAGCATTTTTAGACTTATGAAGGGTTATCGTCTGCTATCGTCGAGGCAGATCCTGAATAAGGAATTTTGTCATTTCTCCAAAAGGCCCATGAAGCCTGGCTTGGTAAGACTAATAAGAAGTGAGAGGTCTCCATCTGTCCTCGTAGAGACTGTGCTATTCCTCAATCATCACCTACGTTTCTGCAAAACCATGCTGAGAAATGAAATTAGTCCCTCTTGCAACAGCCCGGTGCATGATATTCCATCAGGGGAATGTAATTTTCCTGACTTTGAGGATTATCTTAGACTGAATCTTGACAGGTTATGTCTAACAGTGCTACAGTTTTGTCATACCGCCATTTTTTTATATCGTGCTGTCTTAAAAAGAGCTACTTAAACAGCAGATTGTGGTGAGCTAGAGGCCGCAGCAGGGGACGTCCTTACGGCGATGATGTGAAAATTAAAGGAGGGTGTAACGGTTAAAGGGGGTAGCAGTGAAAGTGTTGTGGGAGAAGATGTCGTCCCGTGTTGTTAACACTTAATTAAATGCACACAGTGACTGTGATGCAATGTGGGAATGCAGAACTGTGTGGGAGTTTTGTTGTTTTTGGGCCTGTTTGTTACTAAACAGTTACTTAGCAGTGCTAGACTCATATAAGTCATCATTTATTCACCCTCATGTTTTTCCAAACCTGTATACTGGATATTTTTAGCTGTGGTCACTATGAACTGTTGAAGACAGTTAAATGACAGTTATATTACAGGCTGTATGTTGGAATCACATGAGGGTGAATAATTAATGACAGAATTAACATTTTTGGGTGAACTATCCATTTAATCATTTTTAAACAGACTTTTTGTTTTCTAATCAAATCACTTAATTGTCTTTTCACTCCAGCGTGTTTCCTCGGGAGCTCAAAGAAGTGTTTGCGTCCTGGAGGCATGAATGCAGTAGCCGAGGACGGCCAGACATCAGCGAACGCCTGATCAGTGCCTCTCTCTTCTTGCGTTTCCTGTGTCCTGCTATCATGTCGCCCTCACTCTTCAGCCTCATGCAGGAATATCCCGACGACCGTACCGCCCGCACACTCACGCTCATTGCCAAAGTAACGCAAAACCTCGCCAACTTCACCAAGTGAGTGAATTTGTGCATGCAACTCAAAGATAGAACTTTTTTAAGTACATAAATAAGTTATTTTTTAAGATAGATACAAAGGTTCTACAGTATATGGAACCTTTTCTTCTAAGAGTGTCATAACAAAAGCTATATCATATGCCATGATACTGAAATGACAATGAAATTGATGTTGATCATGAGTTTTAATGCATCGTACTTTGAACTATGGTTAAATCAGTATTATAATGAGCAATATTATTCCTGTGGTTGCAATTAGTTATGTGAACATACTGATAAAGTATTTCAAATGGTACATTTGTATCAGGAAACTCAAACTGTACTTTGTTTTTTTTTGCTCATAGGTTTGGCAGTAAGGAGGAGTACATGTCCTTCATGAATCAGTTCTTGGAGCATGAATGGACCAACATGCAGCGCTTCCTGCTGGAGATCTCCAACCCAGAGACCATCTCAAACACAGCAGGCTTCGAGGGTTATGTTGACCTGGGCCGTGAACTCTCCACTCTCCATTCTCTTCTGTCAGAAGCGGTCTCACAGCTCGATCAGGTGAACACCTATGTTTGAACAAATATCATTTTTCATGGGAAAATATATATAACTGTCAGTTTTCTCACAGACAATCACATAAATCAGTGAAAAGGGAATAATGAATATCTTTATCATTGTAATTTGAGATCAGAAAATAGAATCTGATGAATTACAAAGAGCTCAGTTTAGTTTATCTAAAGTGAACAGATTTTCATTTAAGATAAAATACAGACAGTACTGGCTCTAAAATCTGATTGGATGAGCCACAATCAAAGATCTAAAATGTGAAATAGCATATATACACACCTGAGAATATAATTTTTTACATTTTAATCTTTCTTTATTGTAATGTTGTTGTTTAAGCATGAAGGCCTGCAAAGTTACAAAGCACAAAGTCCAGTCCAAAGGGAGTTGGTTATCTGACAGCAGCGGCAATCCACCTGTCACTCAAGTGGCTCACATTTGTGATGAAGGGCAAAATTGGCTATATAGACCAAAAATACTTTTGAAACCAGGTTTTAAAAATATTTTTTTCTGCTGGAAAGTTGGGCATATTAATATGGGGGGTATATGGGATTGACTATCTTTTGGGGCCTGTCTCTTGGGGCCAGTCGATGAATTGCAGTTTAAATCACTTCCGTGTTGGAAGCCTGCCGCTTGGTTGCGTTAGTAGTGTGTTAATATTGGTAAAGGGCGTGACATTTCCAAAACACGCTTGATTGGTCGTCTGCATCAATCAGAGCACGTTGCACTTTTCGGAAAGAGGGGCTTCATTGAGACCCGAACTAGAGCGTTATTGACAGACTGGGAAAAGAGGTGCTGCAACAATGTAAAATACACTCACCTAAAGGATTATTAGGAACACCATACTAATACTGTGTTTGACCCCCTTTCGCCTTCAGAACGGCCTTAATTCTACGTGGCATTGATTCAACAAGGTGCTGAAAGCATTCTTTAGAAATGTTGGCCCATATTGATAGGATAGCATCTTGCAGTTGATGGAGATTTGTGGGATGCACATCCAGGGCACGAAGCTCCCGTTCCACCACATCCCAAAGATGCTCTATTGGGTTGAGATCTGGGTTGGGTTGAGATCTGGTGACTGTGGGTGCCATTTTAGTACAGTGAACTCATTGTCATGTTCAAGAAACCAATTTGAAATGATTCGAGCTTTGTGACATGGTGCATTATCCTGCTGGAAGTAGCCATCAGAGGATGGGGACATGGTGGCCATAAAGGGACGGACATGGTCAGAAACAATGCTCAGGTAGGCCGTGGCATTTAAACGATGCCCAATTGGCACTAAGGGGCCTAAAGTGTGCCTAGAAAACATCCCCCACACCATTACACCACCACCACCAGCCTGCACAGTGGTAACAAGGCATGATGGATCCATGTTCTCATTCTGTTTACGCCAAATTCTGACTCTACCATCTGAATGTCTCAACAGAAATCGAGACTCATCAGACCAGGCAACATTTTTCCAGTCTTCAACTGTCCAATTTTGGTGAGCTCTTGCAAATTGTAGCGTCTTTTTCCTATTTGTAGTGGAGATGAGTGGTACCCGGTGGGGTCTTTTGCTGTTGTAGCCCATCCGCCTCAAGGTTGTGCGTGTTGTGGCTTCACAGATGCTTTGCTGCATACCTCGGTTGTAACGAGTGGTTATTTCAGTCAAAGTTGCTCTTCTATCAGCTTGAATCAGTCGGCCCATTCTCCTCTGACCTCTAGCATCAACCAGGGATGTAGTGGAGGCTAAACGCACGTTACGCACCTCCCAATATTCGGAAATAGCGTTTACCCACCTCCAAAGTGCGTTTATCCACCTCTAAATAGCTATAAATTAAACTTATGTCGTTTTAGTTTCATATTGTTCATTATTAGTTTCATAATTGTTAAACCTAAGACGAACTCTTTCATATTGCGCTGCATTACTGTCAATGTTGTTGACTTTTAATGACGGTTGCGCTGTTGACGCTCGCGCAGCCTCTCGAGGAGAAATCTACACAAATGAGCGCACACACACTCAGTTAACAACATACTGCCTATAAAAAATCTAAATGTGGAGTTTTTATATTTTTAACATATGTTAAGCAACCTCCATTATTTTTCCTGAACACCATCACAATTGAAAATGTGACATTGATTTCCTACAACAGTTCAATAAACAGTTAAAATTAAGTCACTTACATTTTAGATGCAAGTGGCTGTTTTTGTTCTGTTTCAGCAGCGAAAATAGTTCCAAACAAAAATCACAGCAGAACCACGGCGCATCTCACAGGAACACTCGACCTGTTTTCATTACTGAATCATTCAGCATTTTGAACGAATCGATTGAGTCAAAGATTCAATGACCCATTCATAAACATCTGTCTCATTCTTGAATGAATCAGCCGTTTTAACAAATCGTTTGAATGAATCAATGACTCACTCATTAAGACGGTCGCCTGCCGCCACCTACTGGCGGTTTCGTGTTATGTTTAAAAGTAGATCATTCTTCCCAAAGTTTCTTATTTGTAAATTTAAATCAATTTCATAACATTATTTTATGCAATTGGAATTTTTCAGTGTAAATGACTCAATTTGATCAGCCCTATAGTGTCTTATTATTCGAAATAATTGAATCATTGGCGAACATGAATTTATTGATCAAATTTAGGAATTTAAAATGAAAGATTAAGCATACATTTAATAAGATTGGGGGAGGGGATGCCCTTTAAAGGTGCAGATATTACAATATGCCGATTTAAATATCAAAGCTGATTAAACACTGAGAATAAAAAAAAAAAAAAAAAAAACTTTTTTATTCGGACAAGTGGATGACAGATTAAGCGTATGAAAAGGCTTAATGTCGAGCCCTCCCTATATAGCAATGTCATCAGGAGATACACATACACCGGTAGGCAGTGGCCCACCTTACCGGGTGACCACCACGTCGTGGTCCACCAGAATTTATAGTTTACCCACCTCTTTTTTTACCACTACACCTCTGGCATCAACAAGGCATTTTCGCCCACAGGACTGCCGCATACTGGATGTTTTTCCCTTTTCACACCATTCTTTGTAAACCCTAGAAATGGTTGTGCGTGAAAATCCCAGTAACTGAGCAGATTGTGAAATACTCAGACCGGCCCGTCTGGCACCAACAACCATGCCACGCTCAAAATTGCTTAAATCACCTTTCTTTCCCATTCTGACATTCAGGCTACGTTTACACATAGCCGGGTATTTAGAGAAACGAATATTTTCCCCCTCTCCGTTTTCAAAAATAACATCGTGCACACACCCGCATAAATACACCGTCGAGCGCCATCATAACTATGCCAAACCTATGGGCGGCAGTGTAGGGAGAAGGATAAAGCCATGCAAGCCAATCAAAATCCTCAGAATCGGCAAGAGAGAACCTAAAACCCCGTTTCTCCCAGTTTACACGGCAACACATAACCGGCGTTTTCAGAAATCTCCACTTTGCCCGGAGTTTTTAGAAATAATCGTTTTCTGTGATAAAAACGCAGTTTTCGTGTAAATGAGAGGGCAAAACGCAGAGAAATATCTGCGTTTTCCCATCGTGTAAACGGGGCCTCAGTTTGGACTTCAGGAGATTGTCTTGACCAGGACCACACCCCTAAATGCATTGAAGCAACTGCCATGTGATTGGTTGATTAGATAATTGCATTAATGAGAAATTCAACAGGTGTTCCTAATAATCCTTTAGGTGAATGTATATGAAAAATAATGCGTTTTATTAACACCTATTTTAGCAGGCCCCAAAAGCAAACTCATGACTTTGTAAAACGGCATAATATATGGCCTCTTTAATATTTAGGCACCATGTTGCTAGAAACCATAAAATGGTTACAGTATTAAAATTAATCTTGCGGTTAGGCTAAAATGTGCACTTTCAATAGAAACATCCAGATTAACACCAGCAATTGATCCTTAAGATTCTCCACTGAACCCATTGAACAGTAAAATCACTCTAATCCATAGCCTCTCTAGTCTTGCTGCTTCAAACTGCTGGAATAACATACCTGTACTAAACCTTATTTTAAGTGTTTTTTCTGTAGTGATATATTGTCTTTTACCCACCAGAGTGAGTTCAGTGCTTTATCAAGTTTGAATCCAGTCAGACACACTTCATTCTCCATTGTATTGTAGAGTACTATCACCAAGCTGGGTCCTCTAGCGCGGATCCTGCGGGACGTGAATTCAGCCCTGACGAACCCCACCGGAGTCCCTGTGCCGTCTCCCACCGAGCGCGTGGGCTCCCCCAGTCTACCCAGCAGCAGCCTGTCTACCGGTCTGCAGAAAATGGTCATGGACAGTGAGATCACAGGGTAAGTTGAGCCTAAACTTCAATTTCAGCCTGGTTTAGATAGTAAAGCTAGTCAAATCTTTATCATTCTATTGTGGAATATGGTAAAAATGAAGGTGAAACTTTTACAGAGCAGGGCTCTTATAAAGCACTACATCTTTTCTTGCTGCTTGATTCATCACTCAGTGCTTTTTAAAGACGATTAATTGGATCTGATTATGTCTTCACATGTTTTAATAATTTATTTTCAGATCTATTACAGATCTACACATACATTCATTTTCTCAACTGAAAGAGCACCGCACTAGCAATGCCAAGGTCATGGTTTCAGTTCTCTGGGAAAACGAATAGGCCTACTAATAAAATGTATGAATGCACAGTCAGATGTTTTGAATAAAAGCATCTGCCGAATGCATAAATGTACACTACCTTTCAAAAGTCTGCCGTCGTTAAGATTTTTTAAATGTTTTTTAAAAAGTCTCTTAGGCTCACCAAGGCTGCATTTATTTGATGAAAATGACTGTAAAAACAGCAATATTGTGAAATATTATTACAAATTTAAATATAGTTTTCTATTTGAATATATTTTAAAATGTAATTTATTCCTGTGATGCAAAGCTGAATTTTCAGCATCATTACTCCAGTCTTCAGTGTCTAATATGCTGATTTGGTAATCAAGAAACATTTATTATTATTAAAAACAGCGTTAAAAAGAGTTGAAACATTCTTCTAAACTTTTGAACGTGTTAATGTCGAAAGTGGCAATATAATGCATGCAGTTAACTTGACCAGACTTATCCTGATTTGTTTTGACTGGAGAGAACCAAACAAGACATTTAAACTTTCCTTTTCTTCATGTGCAAAAATAAAACAAAAAACTTCTGGGTGGTTTATCCTCTTGCTCAGTAATGAAAGGCATTTTTTTTTTTTATGTAGTCTTTGTCGTGAGATTTAGTGTACTGTTATGTTTTGTCAAAGTACAGTGTTTGGACTATAATCTGTCATATTAGCACACACATCAATTAGCCATGCAAATGAGCTAGATTGACAAATAATGAGTTTGATTTGAATTAAAGAACAGCTGTGATCTTCAAATTTGTCCTGTCGCCACTTGGACAGGTTGGTGGATTTCACTCGGCTGCCCTCGCCTACCCCCGAAAACAAGGATCTATTTTTTGTGACAAGGAATTCTGTGATTCAGCCGTCGCCGGCCCGCAGCTCCAGTTACTCAGAGGCCAACGAGCCAGATGTTCAGATCCCTAACGGCAGCAAGAGCTTGTCAATGGTGGACCTGCAGGACAGTCGTTCACTTGAGAGCGCTCCCAACACCTCCTTCAGCGACCCCCTCAATGACAGCCAGACCTCCGTCGGCCAGGGCACGGGAGTGTGGACCACCCGCACTGCTAAGGGCAACACGCCCAGCGGTCCGACACTAAGGAGAGCAGGTCAGACCCCCACGACACCGAGCACAGAGACCGCCCCGGGAAGGTCTCAGCTGCTTGCCCCGCTCTCGTTCCAGAACCCTGTGTACCAGATGGCTGCCGGATTGCCCGTGTCGCCCCGTGCGGTGGCCGATTCGGGATCTGAATGCCAGAGTTCCATCAGCTCCCAGAGTAACGCAGAGGAAGCAGCTACTGCGGGGTCAAAGCACCCGTTCCTGGGCCAGTCCAGCGCGGGGGCCAGTGGGGGAGGGGGCAGCAGCGGGGATGAGTTCATTCGGCGTTCTGGAGAGTTCACCCGCAGACAGCTGTCCCTCACGGAGGCCCAACACCAGACCAACGTACCGCGGCAGAACAGCGCAGGGCCACAGCGCCGGATAGACCAGCCGCCTCCAGCCGTCACAAGAGGCCGCACTCCACCCAACATGCTCAACACCGCACCCTACCCCCGCCCCTCCAGTGGAAGCATGATGTCATCATCTCCTGATTGGCCAAGCAGCGGCACCAGACTGAGGCAGCAGTCGTCGTCCTCCAAAGGGGACAGTCCAGAATCCAAGCAGCGGACCCTGCACAAACAAGTGAGTTAATTGTGACAACATTTTTTTTAGTTTTTGTCTTTAGATGAAAATTTCCTTTCTTTTGGGTAAAAAGTTTGTCATATAATTGAATTATATGAATCGAATATGTACAGGTCATGTACAGGTGCTATTCATCTTTTTGACCACTAGATTTCCTCAACAAAATCTATTTTGAAAAGCTTTTTTCTTAAAGTATAATAAAAAAACAACAAGAAGATACCATTGTCACGAATTAATAATGTGTTCCCTTAATTTAGTGGCCTCAATTTAACTAAAACAAGGGAACTAATTAATAAAATGTGGCCATGAATGAATAGATCTTAGGAAACAAATTTGGTCTTTGCCACAATGTCTATTTTTCCCCACATATCATGTGTGAGGCTCCATATTCCATCACAAATGTTGCTTTTATTTAAGGCAAATAAACTTGATTTTTCTCTGGACAATAAACGTATCATAAAAAATACAATGAGATATTTTGAAATACAATTTTAAAAAAAAATACAATGGACTTGCATTAAAGATCCGAGTCATATCTGGAGATCAAAATATCACAGAGAATTGGTGGGCCAGTAAGAACCCCATCAACCACATAGCAGCATGCTAACAACTAGCATTGTGGCTACAAGTTTTGCAGGGCTAGTGCCACTCATGTTTTTTTCAGAAGTGTTATAAACCTAATCGTAGTGATTGTTGCTTCAATCAAGAAAAGATATTATACTTCTCAAAGTTCCAAGTTTTCAAGACATAGCATTTTAAAACCGATCACATCCCTAGCTGTCTCTTTATGTTGCAACATTCCCATAGCTAATTTAGATACCACTAAATTAGCTACCACTCGGCTGATATCCTTAAAACAACTTGGCACTCAGATCTCTCGGGGGATAATGAGCCTTTTGGTGCAACGCTAGAATCAAACGAGGCTCTTAGGTTGAGATGAACACGCAGCCCTCTCGCTGTCAGAGGCGAAAGGAATGGAGCAGACAAGCAGAATTAATTGCTAGAGCGCAGGCGCTGCGCTAGTGATTAAATGACTGCTCGCATTGTCCAAACTGTTCCTTTGATGTCTGCTGAATGACTCTTCATTAAAAAATGATCAAATGTTTTTTTCTAGCGCGCACAAGTGCTGTTGACACCTTGAACAGTTTTGAGGCACTTGTTTGTGTGCATGTTTCTGTGGATGAGTGAAAACTAACAAATTTGATAGCAACTTTCTCATTTCGATGTTAGCATGGCCATATTATAATACAATCGTGTGTGTGTCTGTGTGTGCGTGTTTGTTCAAATGAACTTTTATTAGGCTCCATCCCCTGTGAATCCCAATGCGTTGGACCGCACTGCTGCATGGCTGCTGAATATGAATGTGCAATATTTGGAGCAGGAGGGAATTGACCCAGATTCGAAACACCGGGAGGACTTTCCTAACAAGGAGGATCTCACACCAACTGAAAAGGTAATAATGAGACCTTATTTTGCGGTGCAGCAGCATAAAAACAGCAGAAATACAGCAGGCTCACTGTTTGTGAGATCAAGACTGGCCTCCCATGGGCACACAGACAGGAAGTGCTATAAGTGCTATAAGAGGGGATCATCTCTCATAAAATACATTAGCTGCTTTCCCATTTATCCTCACTGGAACATTATGGACTTTCTGTGACTTCACGGCATGTTGATGAATATTATTTAGGCCATGCTGACATTGCTTGGTAACCTTCCTGGAATGACCAATCATCTAAACCTAATTAATATTCACTAGCTAATCATTTGTTTTTTTGTTGTTGTTGTTGAATGAAATGAATATTTTTATTCAGCAAGGAAACATTTAGTCGGTCAAAAGCAGCACAACTGTTTTCAACATTGATAATAATAAGAAATCTTTCTTGAGCAGCAAATCCGTATATTAGAGTGATTTCTGAACGATCATGTGACACCGAAGAGTAGAGTTATGATGCTAAAAAATCTGATTTGCCATTACAGGAATAAATTGCATTTTAAAATATATTAAAATAGAAAATATTTATTTAAAATTGTAATAATATTCCACTGTTTATCAAATAAATGCAGCTTTGGTGAGCATATACTGTAAGAGACGTTTTTCAAAAACATTAAAAAGTCGTATCTACCCCAAACTTTTGAACTGTAGTGCAAATTGCTAACTTAAATATTTTAAACCAGTTTCACTCTCTAAACTAAAGGAAAACAGAACCATCCACATTTTTTATTCCCCCAAGAACCAAGACGTGAGGATATTTTAAGCTCAGATCTAGTTGCTTAGTCACGGCATCTTCTCTTAAACTGATACGAAGATGGTGGATGTCAAACTGCAGACAGGTTGATGTTGTTCGAAGAGTAGAAGTGCAATTCTAAAGCACTTCAGATAAAGTTGCCTCTTGATCTCTCTAGTGTTGTAATTTAGGCAAACAGGCTCAAATCACTACACTGCAAAAGTGGAGAAGCACGCACCTGGCTCAGGCTTGTCTGCCGTCTCTTTCCCCTGCTCTTTAATGAATAATGAACCCGGCGGAGTGCATAGAGCCAGCACACCCACATACTCAACCCTCTCCCTCAGCAAAACCCCACTGCATCTGTGCTGTTTGAAGCTGTTAATGTAAGTGATGCTGTGAAGATTGGTTCAATCCTCAAAAGGGAACGGCGCTTTTTCCACAATAACGTTTTAGTCGAGATGCAAAACAACAAAATGAAAAAAACAGGCTTTTTATTTCATGTCTTTGCATATTTATAAAGCAGTCAGTTTCTGTATCTATAAGCCCTTGACGAAGCAGAATCTTAAGATGCAGACTATTGGCAGAGCATTTGAAAAAACATTCTCCTTAGAACAACTGCATAAAACATTTCATACAACACTGTCTTAGTTTCTGAATAGCCTGAAGCAAAATTATTTTCCTAACCAGTTTTACTTGAATTTACTTGAAAAGCAAAATTGTGTAACATATTAAGACTAGATTTTTTTTAATGCAAGTTTCTTTCTGCCTTTGAGTGAAAATTCTGACTTTTCCAGTAAATGTGACTTTTCACTGTATCTCACATTATGACTTTATTTCTTTTTTTAAACTTGATATCACAATTACCAGTTTTATTTATTTCGTTTTTTTTTTACTTTTTTTTTGTTTTTTTTTACTTTTTCCCCCATCAGATTCATCAAACATCAGTTACCCCATTGGAAAATAGTATTTTCAAGAGTAAATTAAACATTTGTTGTAAGGTTTATACTATAAAGTAAACAATAATAAAAAAAAAAACCTTATAAAAATTATATTATAAAAATAACCTTATTTCAACCTACAGTAAAATCTCAGGAAAAAAGTATTTTTGTAAGTTGTTTTTATACAAAGCAACTTAGATGATTTCAAAGTATAGCTGTTATCATTTCATGCATTCCCTGCAAATCAAACCCATGACCTTGGCTTTGTTAGCACCATGCTTTACAGTTTGAGCTAGAGGTTTGCCCCAAAACACATAAGGTATTCATCTTTGAATCATTCAGTAGCACCAACTAGGTATATTTCATACAGCTTTGCTGGATTACCCAGCCTTAGCAGACAGATATAAGATGATTAGCAGGGCTATATTCATGTAATATGCATTTCAAACCACAGCTGTGCACATCTGAGAACTCCCTCTTTACACAGCTTTTGCTGTTCTTTAATCCTGCTATTAGAGTTCTTCATTCGCTCTTTTCTTCCTCAGTATCAGCAGGAGATAGCTGTCCTGCAGGAGAAGCTGCGTATCTCTGCTAAGAAGCTGGAAGAGTATGAATCTCGCATGAAAAGCCAGGACGACCAAACCCAGAAGATGCTCCTGGAGTACCAGGCCCGGCTGGAGGACACGGAGGAGCGATTACGCAAGCAGCAAGATGACAAAGAGCTCCAGATGAAAAGCATCATCACCAGGTGAAGATCTGCTTTAGAAGCAGGAGAGTTTGGATGTGGGGTGGTGTGGCCTTGTGATCAAAGATCCAGTCTAGAAACTAAAACTTTGTAGTTTCAAACCTCATAAAAGATGATACATTAGATGTAACTAGGGTCCAAAATTAACTGTTTGAAACTTAAGGTATCCTAGATAAACTTCTGATGGTAAATTAGGTATTTTGTGCTCAGTAACTACTGACCAAATGTCTAATCTTCCATTTCTTGGTAAAATAATTGGAAAAATAGTGGGTAACACTTTAATTGAAGGGGTGTGCATAAGACTAACATGACACCTTCATAATCATGACATGACACATGTTATGAATATGAAGGAAATTGTATGCGTGTTTATGACAACTGTCATTAAGTGTCATTCGCTCAATTATGACATTTTTAATGCAAATATGACATTGTTTGAGATGTCTTTGTTATGACACCTTGACATAGACCAATACATCATAACCTGTCAGTGTCTTTGTCATGACAACTTGACATTACTAAGACAACACAACCTGTCATAAACATGACATAGCAGATTAATTATCTTAAGAAACCACTTAGCTTTATTGGTTAACATTACATTAAACTGTCAGGTGGTTGGTTTTGACATTGGCTGTCATGAAGCCATTATAACTGTTTAATGACAAATTCAATTTGTACCACTGTAGTTGAGGTCACGAAAAATATTCATGACACAGTTATAATGGCCTTATGACAGCCAGTGTCAAAACCAACCACATGACAGTTTAACTTAATTTAATGTCAAGTTGTCATGACAAAGACACTGACAGGTTATGATGTTATAGTTTATGTCAAGGTGTCATAACAAAGACATCTTAAACAATGTCATATTTGCATTCAAAATGTCATTATTGAGCGAAAGACACTTAGTGACAGTTGTCATAAACATGCATAAACCCTACTTCATATTCATGACATATGTCATGTCATGGTTATGAAGGTGTCATGTCAGTCTTATGTACACCCCTTCAAGTAAAGTGTTACCACCGTACAGAAACAGCCTTGCTTAAGGTTTTAAACAATCTGCAAGTTATTTGGAACTTTTACATTTGAGTCCTGCTTTTCTTACACTGTTGATCATGAGATTCTACCCGACAGACTACAGAACTGGGACGGTCTATCAGGTCCTGTCTTCGACTGGTTTAGATTCTACTTAAGCTGTAGGGATAACTATGTTACACTGGGTACCTACACCTCCAGGCGTTGCGTCATATCTTGTGGTGTTCCTCAAGGCTCAATTTTGGGTCCTCTATTATTTAACCTTTACATGCTTCCTTTAGCGATTAGTGTAATTAATCAGTACAATATTTCCTTTCACCAGTATGCAGATGGTATGCAACTCTATCTATCACTTGCACCAGATGCCTACAATTACATTTTCCTATTTACTTACTTTCTTTGAGATATTTTAAGTATTATGGTACAGTTCAGTTAAGCACTCAAGTAGCATCTGTAGCTTAAAGATGTATGTGGCAATTTTATGTTTTAGGTTGATGTCAGTTGAAGACGAGCTGAAGAAAGATCACGCCGACATGCAGGCCATCGTAGACTCCAAACAGAAAATCATCGAAGCCCAGGTGAATCTAAAATCAAAAGCCTGTGTTGTGTCTTTATTCATTGTAAAGACAAGTCAAGGTTTATTGTAATCAAAATATTTCCACGATGTCTTTCGACTGGTGCTGATCCAGAAGCTTAATGTAAGTGAAAAATATTTGGGTTGACAACCTATACTCCATCTAAAACAGCATTTTTCTTATTTTGGTTTAATGAGATTTATGGAATATATTAAGGAATACTAAAATTCATTAATACTGGGCTATTTAAGTGAACTACTAAATTGACTTAAAATATACACTTTCCCTTATACTGTCGTTCAAAAGTTTTAGGTCAGTAATATAAAAAATATATTTTTATTTTTCATTTTAGCAAGGATGCATTAATTGATCAAAAATGACAGTAAAGAATTATTTTGAACTTTCTGTTCATCAAAGAATCCTGTAAACAATGAATGATGGTTTCCACGATATTAAGCACGCACAACTGTTTTCAACATTGATACTAATAAGAAATGTTTCTTGAGCAGCAAATCAGCATATTAGAATGATTTCTGAAGGATCATGTGACACTGGAGACTGGAGTAATGATGCTAAAAATTCAGCTTTGCCATCACAACAATAAATTACATTTTTTAATTCATTAAAATAGAGAACAGTTATTTTAAATTGTAATAATATTTTGACTGTATAAAGCCTTGGTGAGTCCAAAAGTCTTCTATTTAAAATAAAAAATGACAAAATGATTAAAGACATATTTAAGATTCTGCACTATTTCTATGTCACTAATCAAATAAACAGATTTGCTTCCATTAAAGCACAAGATGCTTTTTGGATCATTCTCAAATCAGGCTGTAGAACATGATCATCAGTACGTGTCAGCTTGAGTGCTGCTGTCATTAAAGCAGTAGGGGTGCATACTAAATACTAAGAAATCAATGTTAACTTTTCACTCAAGTTCTTATGCTGATAATCTAATGTAGTGAATCATTTTCTATTAAATAAATAAAATAAAAAGCATTTTCACTACTGGTTTTGGATGTTTGTATCAATTGTCAGCTTCCCATTTGCAGGGTCATAGCGCCCTCTTGTGTTCTGTTTAGATTTCAGCATGATGTGATGAGTTGGTCTCTGAGGTTTAATAGTATTAATGTAGTTGAAAGTTTAATGATAAACACCCATGTCCTCCGGGGACAATCAGCGTCTCTCGTAAACATTTTGATGAGCATAAAAACCCCCCACTGTGGATTCACTTTAGCACTCATCAAAATAATTAAAGACTTTGTTTACATCATAGATTTATTTTATAAAGGCGAGGAGAGATTACTGCTGTCGCCGCACGAATTTTAATTCCAACTCTATGAATTAATTGAATGGGTTTTAGACGGTGTAATTAGTCTGTAATGTTTCAGACCAAAGAGTGCCAGTCACCTTGCGTCCGTTTGCGGAGTAGAAAGACTTTAATTAAACATTAAATATCACGCACTGTTAATCACCTTCTTCTATCTGACCTCCATGAATGGTCACTCCCCACAGGAGAAGAGAATCGCATCCCTGGACGCCGCGAACGCCCGGCTAATGAGCGCTCTGTCTCAGCTGAAGGATCGGTACAGCATGCAAACGAGGAACGGCATCTCTCCCACCAACCCTACGAAGCTCCAGATCACGGAAAACGGAGAATTCCGGAACAGTAGCAACTGCTAGCGTGGATACAAACACACACGGCTAGTGATGGACAAGGGCTATGGGTAACTCGCGGAAACAATACGGAAAAAACGGCACTCCAGCAGGTTTAAATTTACTTCACAAAGTCCTGAGTACTGGGTCGAAATAACTCCTTTGGGAACAAATCGGATAGGATGTTGCACAATGTCCCACGGTTGCTTCACTCGGTATATAAAGACTAATAGATTATTAGCCAATCAAAGATGTCTAATGGAATATTCCCATGATGCTTCATTTATAGCCTTTGTCACGAGAGCCACTCGGTCACAGAAGTTAGCCGTGACCTAATTCTGTATCATCTCTAGATTTGAACTGTGCATATACGCATTTTGATTTGGAGTTAGCGTGATAATAATGATCAATCATAAGGATGTAATTATTTGTCGAAACACTAGTTTCTGCTTTGTTTTTATTGATACATCTGTACATTTCATGTAAACATGATTTTCTTTACATTTGTGTTGCTTGCATCACTCCAGGGCAGCAGTAGCACAAAATGCTCGCTTTTATTTGTACGGTTAAAGAGAAACATCGCATTTTGTTGCATACTTTTTTTTCTATGCGCATAACATATAGAGGCGACGCGCCTCATTAATGTATATAGTTTTTTATGGGCTTTTCAGAGAAAAGAGATTTCTTTTTTTTTTCGTACAGTGTGTTTTCCCGTGCTGAGGTCTGCTGTACTTTAATATTTAGAAAAAAAAAAGTACAAACTAAGTATGCTCTGATTGTACACTGAGGTGCTGCTTCTAGATAGAGCAATGATGAGGACACACTCTCTACAATCACAACCAACGCTGTGGATAGAAATGTCCTCATACTGCTTGCCGTTCGTGTGGCCAGTATTAGACTCCGTATCCAACATCATACCTACAGTACAATCCGTGTCTGCCCCCCTACGATGTCTTTCTTCCACTCTATGCACTTTCTATAGCATTAGAATGGACCCTTTAACCAAAACCTGCTTCTGTGGACTTGTTATAAAGGCTATTCAGAGCAGCAAGTACAAGGCATATAGCATTCAGCACTTCTTCTGGATGACAGAGGTTTGAGATGATGTGTGAAGGGTACGTGGCTGTTTTTTTGTACTTTACTTTTGTAATGTTTCCTGCTCTTCAAATGCAGTTTGCATCAAACAAGCTGGGAGTCGGTGTGCAGCACGGCAATAGTTGCGTCAACCCTGCAGACCCTGAACGTTTGCTCCGTTATCAGACGAGCCTGTTTCAGCTTCACTGAACTTCATTCAAATCAGGTTCACGGAGTGGAGTTTTAAGACTGTCTGTGTTTCTTTATGTATAAATATTCACATCAGTTTGTTTGGGACAATAATTTTTGAAAAACTGCAAGGGCAAACCACTTTGTGTATAAATCTCATATCGAACATCTCCATTTTTTTAGAATTCTCTATCATCACTACATTTTTTTAATTTTATTTATCACACAGGCTTGAGAGAAAGTATCCTCTGTTTAATTGTTGTTTGGAATTGATTTTTAATTTATATTTTAAATTATGTTTAGCTTATTTATTCAACTGTATTTGTTGATACAACCCCAAAATGAAGAGTACTTTTTTAAAGTGTCCAACGTTAAAAAGCTTTGTTAAAGTCGACATGAAATGGAAGTCGCGATAATACTTTCTTTCCTATTGTGACGTATATCCGAGTGAAACAGCTTCTCAAATGAGAAAAAATGTTGGGCGGGACTTGATTTTGTTCAACGGAATTGATTGGATCGATTGCTAATTTGCTGTGATGTCATGTGAGTGACAGGTTTTCCCGCCCTCACACCACTAAACGCATCATCAGAGAAGAGAAGAGGGCTGCGTCCGAAATCACATAGCTACTTTTTTGAGTAGGTAATTATTTTTTAAAGAGTAATTACTTCAGGGCTGCTAAAAAAGTACGTTCTAGTAAGAATGTGTGTAGTATGAATATAATCTGGACGTACTGTATAGATACTATATAGAACGTACTTATATATACGCCATGTTTTCATTAACATGTGACCGACCAGCGTCAGTTACGTCGCGTCACCGCCATTCACAAATCCTCTCCCATGGCCTTATGGGATAGTAAAGTGTCCACTGTATGCACACTTCAGAATCTCGCCAGAAATAGTAGGTCATCTGGGTACTTTTTGCCTACTTTTTTTGTACTGTGAATTCGGACATACTGCTTTTGTCACATACTGTTTAGCCTACTGTACTATATAGTAGGGAAGTATGCGATTTCGGACGGGATGTTATTTTGATTAAAGAATACGAGGGCACATGATTTTTTTTTTTTTTTTTTATAATGTGCACGGATAAATCATTGTCTATTCTTTAATAAATACTGCAATATTTCAGAAACAAATAATAATTGACTATTTTGATTTCATGTCGACTTTTAAATTTCTTTCAAGTTGAAGTGTGTAATCTTTTGAATGTTAAAATAATCAACCAATGGCTTGAGGTTGGGGGCGGGACTGTCTGTTTATTCGACCAGTGAGGTTCGAGAAACCCGTTTTAAAACATTCATTATTTTTGCAATTGCTGTCGACGAAGCTAGTGATGCACATTTGAGATGAGGTCACATTTACCGTTTGGCAAATTTTTGAGGGTGAAATCCGTTCATTTCAATAGGAGTCCATGCGGTCAGGAATTAGGTGAAGAATTTCCTCACGCAGGATTGGAAACGGTTCAGGTTGATCATGCGAATTTGCTGCATTGACCAACGGGAATCTGCTTGGTTTGAAAGGAACTTCTTTTTGAGCTTTGCTTCATTTATCACTACACTATTGACAATAAACAGTCCACGAATTTTGCCGAAATTTCGCTAATGTGACCACACCTTTATAGTAACTTAGTTAATTACAGAGAAATTGGAAACAAGCTAATTAAACATGTCAAATGAACTTTTGAAGGCTAGTACAGCACATTTAAAAAAAAAAACTCTAAAGAAAATGTTTTTTTCATTCCTTAATATGTTGTGAAAGTCAAAGGGCTGCTGTTTAGTGTCACTTGGTTTAAAGGAAGACAACCTTTAACTTTTTCCTGTTTGGCATGATTATATATATAAACAAAAAGAAGAAAAAATCTCCACATTATTTTCTGCTTTACCTCTACATCTTTTGTATGTATGTTTCAGAGCTACGATGAGCGTTTTGCCACATGTACATACATGAACAGAAGACACCAATATATGAGAAGTCATTTGTGTTGAAGAAAAGTTCTGTGCAATTCATGTACAATTGCCTCTAGAATTATTAAAGTTTTATTTAGCTATTTCAAGGTTCTGACTTTATTTGTTAGTTTACTGTACAGTCCAAAAAAAATAATGTTGTTGAGAAAAAGATATATTGTTTCACCTGTGTAAAGTTAAGTAAATGCTATGGACAGAATGTATATATCCATGTAGAATGCCATTGTCAAGATGGGTGCACTTCAATGAGTGCCATTCAAAATAAAAGCTAAATATTTGTCCATGAGTGTTATCACCAAGGTCTTTCTTACAGAAATAAGCATTTGATTTGTTTCATTGTTCCACTAATTTGTTTGGTATTCCTAGATAACTATATATATGTATATAACAGCACTAGAAAGTTTTGCTGTTGATATATGTATAAATTTTTTTAAAAATTAAATACAGTGACATCAAAGGCACTTCACACTGAGTAGGCAGGGAAAAGTAGTTAATTTCACAGTTCATGGGCTGTCAAAAAACGGGGCAATAGTAAAACTTACTATATAATGAATAAAATGTCAAATGTCATGTTTGTGATGGATATACTAATATATATATATATATATATATATATATATATATATATATATATATATATATATATATATATATATATATATATATATATATATATATATATATATATCATTATTTCGTCAGAATACATGGATACTTTTGAATGAACGTCAATGGAGAAAGATGTTTTTGCTCCCATAAGGTGTAATTACGGCATCGCCATATTCTTGGCAAAAGCTTGATCTCTTCAAATTCGTAATATTCAGTATGCTGTTCCGAATTCAGCAAGTCTCTCTTAAATGTGATGTTTAGACAATAGTGCCATTTAGTGGTCTTTAAGTGTAAGTGCCCGTATGTATTTTTATGACGTTGGTCAAAGCAACATTTTCTGAAGGAAAAAGCAGTGCCTGAAGGTATAGCAAACGATAGAGTTGGACAAGTTTAGGCTTTGGTTCTGTAAATGGAATGGTCCATCAGAGACAAAACACTGGCAGATTTAAGACAGCCATAGAAATGGAAAAAAAAAGAAGAAAAAACAGAAATAGCATTATACAATATTGAGAGAAAAGAAACGATATATGAATGCATTGTGTTTAAGTTGTACTTGTTAGAGTAGTTTGGATTTGGGGGTGACAGTCTTTTTAAATATTAAATAATATGCAAACCAAACAATTACTGGCCAGTCACAATTCATTATGCAAGTACATGCAAGCATGCAAGAAAGAAGACCGACCAATCAAAATCATTTAGATGACGTCACACCGTCGGTTACATTTTTAACTCTCGCTGAAGTTTTTTTTAATCAACGTAAGTCGATAGGAGATGTTCAAAGTTTAATTTTAAATTTCTTGAGGTATAAAGTTAACAAATTTTTCACAGTTTACATTAAAATCTAACTTCACACAAAGTTTTGGCTCTGCATTAATTTTTCATTTTAAAAACCCTGTTTTTGGCTGACATCAAAAGAAAAAAAAGTAAAGGTAGGCTACAAGATCACTATTAAACAATACAGCATTAGACAATGATATGAGTGTCAGTGAATGATATTATCTGTCTCAGTAGTTTTTCCTCATATCTTGAAAATTAAATAATATCCTCAGTAACTTTTTAGCCTGGTTTCACAGACAGGGCTTAGACTAAGCCAGGATTAGGCCTTAGTTAAATTAGGACATTTAAAGGTGCTCTATGTAACTTTTAGCGGCCTCTAGTGGTGATGTTTCAGATTGCAACCAAATTTTACAAGAGCGCTCGTGCTCGAACTCATAGACAATACCGTCTATTACGCAAATATCTCGGCGAATACTAGACGGATTCGGCGAGCACCGAGCTCGTTGGGACCATCTAGTCGAGCTGAAAATAACCATATAAGTTCCATAGTTTTTGGTGGTGTTTTCGCGGAGATATTAGCAGAAAACCATCGGGCGTGCTGCAAAATTGCGGACGCCGGTGACGTCACGATCTCAGAAGAAAATCGCTCGTATCTCTGGAACGCAAAGACCCAGAGAGCTCAAATTCGGGGGAGGAGGTCCCAGGGGAACCCTTGCCCGAACGCTAGAGTGGCGGGCCTCGGGGATGCCCCCTCAGGGCTCCAGACTAACTTTTCCACTGGTTGCACTGGTGCTACCAACTTTCTCAGTTGGTCGCACCAGCATATGATTTGGTCGCACCTTTTTTCTTTTTTTTTGCTACATGCCATGGGATTAATCAATGCATGCTGATGAATAGTGGTTTTAATGGACTAAGGCTAGCAAACGCTTTCTGGGTTGCAGCAGAAATACCTGTAATATATTAATTATCATTGCCAAATTTCAGGATTTTCATGGATTTTGGACAGTAATTTTAATCTGTAATTTTAAGCATTTTACATTTGAATTATATACATACAATCTATCTATTTACATTTGAATCACATTCTATCTATCTATCTGTCTATTATCATCTTTCTATCTTTTAAAAATCATTAAACATTCAAATGTATGCATTACATTTTAAAAGATTAGAGTATTATAATAAACTGATACAGATTTTTCGTTATCAAAGTTTATAGTTGTAACAAAAAGCAGAAATCTCACACTCCTTACCTTCATAATAATTTCCTTTTCCTCTGTCGAGCGATCATGAGAGTATTCGCTCGACAGAGGAAAATATAACCGCTGAAAAGACGTAGGAGGAAGGGGCTCTGTGTTTCGTGAGACCATTTTTATCATTTTTATATGCCTTAATTCGTGAATTCGTAATTGGCGCGTTTCACCATCAGTGTGCAATGCGCGTGACGTCTACGTTCGTCAATAAATAAACTGCACGTGTCTTGCGGAAGAACATTGTAGACGGAACTTCTCTCCGTTAATGTCTATGGCGAGTCACGCAGGCACTGGGCTACTCCGCAGCCGAGACGACCCCGGGATAAAATAGTCCGAATATAAACACTTATTATAGGCGTACCGTAGTGATTCAGAATAAGTCAAAAACACGGTTTGGAAAATGGATTCATGATGTACCCTACTCGTTCATTTTGAACATAAGTTACGGACTGCAGCAGCTGATACAACGGCGTTCTGTTGCTCAAGCGTCCACTCGCACAAATGCGACCACATAACATTTTAACTCGCACATTCTCAAAAAATGGTCGCAGTCTGGAACCCTGCCCCTACCGGATCGCCGTTCGCTGGGACCCCCGATTTCGAACGGCTATAACTCGGGGAGCCGGGCGAGTTGGACCTCGGGGGTGGGCTCGTTCGAAAGGCCCCGTCCAGCACTACGAACGATTAGAGTCTTGGGAATATTGATCAAAGATTGACTGAGATATAAGCCGAAAAACGTGCGCCTTTAACCGGACGTAACTCCCTGACCGTCTACAATAGACCGTATATAAGGAGAGAGGCTCGGGAGCGCGCATGCACGTCACATCCGTTGGATTTCGCGGTAAATCCGACCCGGAGACTTCACATAGAAATAGGAATACTGGCCTTCAGAGGTAATAGCAAAACTCGACAAGTGGATCATTTTAATGTGTGATTACAACCCCTTCACACACAGGCAATAAAAAAAGGATTCATTTTAGTAGAAAAGTTACATAGAGCACCTTTAAGTAGTTTTTATAAACGTGCCTTAGAAAAAAACATTACTGATGTGCATCTTGAGACTAAACAAAGCCACTGACACATTTTAAGATAAGTCCGTGCAAGTTGTTTTCAGTGAAGGCACCTCAAACATGCACTTTAGTGTGGGACTAACTTAAGCCTTGTCTGTGAAACTGGACAAATGAAAGTTTGACAGTGGCATAATGAAGCATTTTGAGGGATTTATTTTCCATTCCCCCTTGCCCTCAGTAATCTCTGTAAACTCATCACGGGCCTGCAGTGATGGCTTTCAGACCACTGGTCCTCTTCATGATGTTCGGTACGAACAGCAGTCCGGACGCTCTCTCGATGCTCTCAATGGGGACCAGGAAGCGTTCCAGTGGGATCTTCTCATCAACTGGCATATTGGGCATCACATAGGACCGCAGCTCCACGTCTCCTCTCGGCTTTTCCAGAATCACCACCTTAAAGAAGTGAGTCGGCACGGCTACATGATTCTTTCCCAAAACCTGATACTTCACATACATTTTCCCATCAGGTTCCTGTCTGTAGGTGCAGGGAGGAAACTATTAGGTTCAGTTTTCATTGATTAAACAGTTCAAATATCTTAAAACATCTTGCATTTTAGACGTGTAGCTGATTTGAACAATCTAGAGCAGTGGCACTCAAGTGGTTGTCTCGGGAGCCAGATATTACATTTGATTTAAAGGAATAGTCCACCCAAAAATGAAATCATTTACTCAGTCACCCCCAAACTGTTCGAAACCTTTTCTTTGTTTTTGTCATTATTCTGTTGAACACAAAAGAAGATACTTTGAAGAAAGAGGGTAACCAAACAGGTGCTGGTCCCCATCGACTTCAATAGAATTAAAATGGAAGAAACTGTCTGGTTACGAACATTATTCACAATAACTTCTTTTGTGTTCAACAGAAGAAAGAAACTCATACAGGTTTGGAACAACTTGAGGGTGAGTACATGATGACAGAATTGTTATTTTTGGGTGAACTATTCCTTTAAAGTCCCACTCCGATCATATTTTGAGCTATTTTTAAACATTCCCAGTGGTCTTTAAATTATGATTATGCCATTTTTAGTCAAAATCACAAAACCTGTGCCGTTTTCTGGGACTTCGCTTCAGCAGAGTGGCAGTAGCTCATTAGCAATTCGCCTCTGCGTTGTGGGCGGAGCCGTTGGCACGGAGACGACCCTCCCCCTGCCCGTTGCTGAGAGCTCTGTCTCTCCCGCTAGCTTACACCCCCAATACCGGTGGGGCAACAGTATTATATACACGTTAATTATATCCAAAGTTAATCAAAGTTATCACCGATCACCGATCATTATTTCACTCCAAGACGTCGCGTGTGGAGACGCCCAGTTACTACGTCACAACTCCAGTATTTTTTAGCCGCCATTTTAGCGTCTGCTACTGATTCACAGCCATTTGAATGTAGAAATACTCAGAAATACAACTTTGAGCTTATTTTTCTCAAGATATGTCCTCTAACATCAGAAAAATGCCACAAGAACATGTTAACACCTAGAAAAACATTATCTTCATCGGAGTGGGTCTTTAACCAGTGAGCCTTGCTGTGGCATAATTTGTATTGCTTCCAATATAATTATTGGTTAATTATTTTCCCTTTAATGGCACATCATACAGGCAGTGCAGACTTCAGTGACAGACTTTTACCGGGGCAAGTAGAGTGGTCCAGTGCACACAAAGACATTCTGGTAATGTTTGGTGAGAGAGCGACAATATTTCTCCAAGTTATTCCATGCGTTTTGGTTTAAATGAGGATTCTGTGGGGAAAGATATCCGCAACATTATTAGCCATAATTACCCATGCAAATAGAAAACAACTGAGCAAAATCTTTAAATGACTGGTGGTTTTATGGATTGTATAACGTAAGGTGCTGCTGTAAAGCTATGTTACTGCAGAATTCAGTTCCTACCAATAAAAACACCAGGCTGGTGCAAAACTCAGAATTTATGAATCACTTCTGTTTCAATTATTGGTAAGAATGTGAATTCATGTGCCCTTCAAAGCTTTAATCAAAATAACTTCCCCTCCCTCTTGCAACGGCTTCTCTTCTCTGATGTGCTTTTCCAATCAATTCCTGATGGACAAAATCAGGGTCCGCTCTACATTTTACTCTTGTTCGAGAAGCCGTTTCACTCTGATATATACACGTCACAATAGGGAAGAAAATACTTTTGGAACTTCTGCTTAATGTTTCATCTGGTCTCACGGGGTGTTAAAAATGTTTGATGAATGACAGGAAGTTGAAGAAACACACAACGGAAGATAGTCCAAAACATGTTAAAGCCTGTTTTTTTATTTTCTGGTATATATAAAAAAAAAAAAAAAAGTTTTTAATTGATTAGACGTGTATGTATATTCAGTAAAGGTTTCATTATTAATAATAAACTATTTATTGATAAATACATATAAAAAATATATGAAATACATGTTATAGGTGGCATTTTAAACATTGATCTCTTATTTATTTTCTGATATATTAAAAAAATTGATTGATTAAAAGTTGAATTATTAATAATAAACAAATTATTAATAAATAATCAAAAATGAGTTCAATACTTTTTAGGTTGAAGTTTAAACATTGGTTATTAATACCACCTAGTATTCATTTTCTGATATACTCTAAACAGTTCCAGCTCACCTGTGGCGACACGTTGCTCAGGTAGAAGGTTTCATCCATGGCTTTCTGACTCCACTTGTGATTGGCTGCTGCAGCCAGGTGACCCCTGTCAAACCCACTGCCCCTGTAATCCGCATTGCTCGATCTGTGGTAAACATGAACCGAGTCGTCCTCTTTAAAATCGCAGAACTTTCTGTCCGATGTCCCGGTTACCGTCTCAGAGTTGAGCTGCTCTATGACCCAAGCTGCTGTCCTGTTTCTGGGGTCGTATGAGGTTACGTAAGACTCTCTGCTCTTGACGTTGGACAGGGAAGGGAAACCATACTTCATCACAGCTGTAGATTTGTTTACAGCGACCTGTCCTGGCTGGTATGCGCTGATCTCTGACGCCGCGTCGACGCTCGGTATCGGGATGACCGGCACGCGGTCCAGCAGTCCCCGGCTGTGGCTCGTGTCCCGGCTTTTATTTAGGAGATCATCGCTGGTTGCTGTCAAGGTGGCGCCGATGCCTATACCAGCAGTCAGTGACAGCCCGGATAAAACCCACCGCGAGCAGAAAACACGATGCATCGTTTACGTGTAATAGATAGAGTTAATTAATTGATCTAAATAAGATGGGCGTGCTGTTATTTTGCCCTCATGTGAGTCAGTGGGTCCCATCGGCTATGTGCTAAACAAGTGCATAGGACATTTAGTCGCATGTCTATGACGTCTCTCAGTTCTTTAAAAGGAAGTAGGCCTACACAGTTTCAAAATTAGAGTTACAGAGTCATTCTTACTATGCAGTACATTCTCATATTCCAAACGCTTCGAAATATAGTGGATAATATTTATTTACATTATTAGTTGATTTGTTTATCACTGTCACAATTAAGTGAACTTACTTGAAATATGGTTACAATATAAAAACAATGAACTTCTTACAGAAATTACAATTTCTTCGATTGTAAGAAACGGTATTTGTATAACATAAATGAATAAACTACCTGTGCAATAAGTGGAATTTCCGGTGCTAATTGCATAACACGTTGTATGCTATATATAGCATGCAGTCTATTTCTATGAGTAGCTTGTATTTAACTCGTGCTTGGATAGAACCTTATTTCTTTGTTTCAAGTAAGCAAAAATCTCCACCTGGCATTAGCTCTGCTGACTCAAGATGTGTGTTATTAAGGGTTTATACATTTATTTCAGTGCAGGTGGGTAGAGTAATGCAAATGGCTCAGCACATTTGAATCTGGGTCTGTAGACATACAGTAAATACAGCTGATTCACCTTGTGCAACTTTCTAAGCAAATAAAAATGGCCTGATATTAATTACTGTTATTAGCCGTAGTGACTGTTGTACTGGTGTAATGCTGCATCAGGCACTAAATATATGCTGTTAAAGCTTTGATATGCATACAGAAGGACAGAGTCTAAAGAAAGACAATTCACTAATATCACGTTGTGCTTTCTGATTGTCAGGTTTTATTCATTTATAATATGTATTCATAGTATTTTATTTACCCTGGCTCACCATGAATGTAAAGCATTTGTAAATATGAAATACATCAAAAAGCCCATGAGCCGCTGAGGATTTTGGCATTTCTTTGAGATTCACAGAAGGAAAAATAATTATTTTAAAAATAACCTGTTTGCATGATATATGATGTGCTGACTTTCATTATGTATTTTTAATTGTGCACCTGAATGGCCATTCTAATTGTGGGGATTGGCGATGCATTTTTACTGTGCTTTGTAATTATTTAGTGTCTGTTTGGGGTTTGTGAGACTTTGTGCTTTAGGAATGTGTTTATATAACTGGACTCATTATAGGAGTGTGTTAATAGGCAGTCTGGAATGGTCATATCTGCACAGATGAATACATGCCAGTATCAAGATGATGTGCGGGTTGCGTTGAGCTAAAGCTGTGCATGTAATGAATCGTTGTATGCTTTATTTAAATGTGATGATATGAATGAAGAAATATTCCAAATATATTAGAGATGCACTCTGCTGTATCATCAAATATAGTTTACCATGGTGTGAATACCATATGCACTGCAATAAAGGCTGCAATGTCTTTACAATGTAACATTTACTCAGAACAAAAATAACAATTTCTACAAAACATAGTGAAATAATAATCATAATATACAATACTTCATATTTCCTTTCAGATAGATCGATATATATATATATATATATATATTTATATATATATTTGTTCAATGTGACATTTTAAAACTTCTTTCTACATTCCAGAAACTTAATCTCAAACACAAGCTAGAGACATTCGTTCTTCGTACTAGCAGGACGGCGATTAAACATCTTTTCCATCGGTTTCATCTACTTGTTACAACCTCAATGGCAATAAAATGCAAGGAAAATGCAGCAATGAAAGGAAATGTAAAAACAAGTCTTCAAGAGAAGAAGAATAACTTGGCATAAGTAGGCTTCCGTGATATCGACCGATTGTTGTCCGTTAAAACAAGCTGGCTAAGTGCAGTGCTTGTATCCCAGTGAGCGTCGAAACTACAGAGAATGTAGAAATGCAAAAGAAATGAAACCTCATCTATATATTTCTCCACTTGAGTTGTGTGTTGAGTGAGCTGAAACAGAATGTAACTTCTTTTTTCTGTTTTTGGTATAAAGTTCAGTCGATCAGTGATGCTAGGAGACAAGCGCTAAGCTGCTCGTCTCATGAAGGCGTTTTGACCTCAGCGTAGCCTCCGCCCTTTCCAAAAAAACCATTCCAGCACTGTGAGGCTGGGTCCGTACGGGGTTCAGGCCACCGCCTCTCTGTCCACAGGGTTCAGCCCTTTGGCCTGCGAACACTAGGGTGGATATCAGGACTAAGATGTGTTTCTAGGCGCTGGCTTTAAGCAGGCTGTTGGCTAGAAGGCAGAGCAGCAGCGTCAGAGTGCTGAGGTAGCAGGCCGATGCGCCGTCACACCCTCTCTCGCCCTGGCAGCGCGGCTGCTCACACAAAACACCCTTAAAGCTGGCCGGACACACGCATTTATGGTTCTGGACGCAGGAGCCGCCGTTCTGACACAGGAGGAGCTCGTCGTCGCACACTTTAGCTGAGAGTAGAAGGACAGAGGAGATTCTCATTAATCAAGTTCATTCTTAAATATAATCTAAACAATAGTTTTTTATATGCCTAACTATTCACAGATCTGTAGAGAGAGAGATCATATTTCAGTCTAAATGTTGGTAGACATAGCAGACACTTTATCCAAAGTGTTAATGCATTCAAACTGACAGTAATTTGCAGTGTAGATTCATTTTTTAGTGAGCATGATATTTGCTTTTGTGGGCCAAATGTCTATAAACGGATGTACCGCAGTGAATGTACTGCAAATGTCCTGAAGAACGCAGAAGTCCATTTCTGCTGAAGGCAAGCAGAAATGAGATATACATCGTCTCTGCTTGCAGTGTGTCAGTCACGCTTCTTAGGAAAGTGAGTGAGATGCACACTAACACACAGTTTTATCAAATCATACGTCATCAGTAGCGGTTCACTTCTGCGAGTTAGTAGGTCTACGATTGCGTTCATTTCAACAGTGAACCGTACACTGTAAAAAAAAATTGTTGATTTAACTTAAAAAATGAAGTAACCTGGTTGCCTTCAAATGTTAAGTTCATTGAAATGGAAAAATTGAGTTAATATGGAGGAGATTGATTTAATCATCAGAAACTCAAAATATTATGTTATCTGAACCACATAAATTATTTAAGTTGATTTGACAAAAGAAAAAATGTTGTGATTACAAATCATGAACATATTTTTTTTACAGTGTATATACCCGAGTTCACATGAACCGTACCCCAGACCACCCTTTTTATGCGGACTCGGGTAGGCCACGGTTCACGGTTGCACACTCGAGTTCAGAAAACAGCATTCACGTCATCGAAACAAACCGAACTCTTAAAGGGTTAGTTCACCCAAAAATGAAAATTATGTCATTAATGACTCGCCCTCATGTCGTCCCAAGCCCGTAAGACCTCCGTTCATCTTCGGAACACAGTTTAAGATATTTTAGATTTAGTCCGAGAGATTTCTGTCCCTCCTTTGGAAATGTATGTACGGTATGCTGTCCTTGTCCAGAAAGGAAATAAAGACATCATCAAAGTAGTCCATGTGACATCAGTGGGTTAGTTAGAATGTTTTGAAGCATCGAAAATAAATTTTGGTCCAAAAATAACAAAAACTACGACTTTATTCAGCATTGTATTGTCTTCCGGTTCTGTTGTCAATCCGCGTTCAGTGACGCTGCTGACGTAAGACGCTGCTGACGTGTTATCTGGTGTGTCTGTGTATTCGGGTTCAAATAAATGTCGAAATCCTTAGACATGTTTGCGAAGATTGTTTTGTTTACAGCGTGTGTCTCCCTCAGACTGTAAACAAAGCTCTGGCACACTGATAACACGTCAGCAGCGTCACTGAACGCGGATCCACAACAGAACCGGAAAACAATACAATGCTGAATAAAGTCGTAGTTTTTGTTATTTTTGGACCAAAATTTATTTTCGATGCTTCAAAACATTCTAACTAACCCACTGATGTCACATGGACTACTTTGATGATGTCTTTATTTCCTTTCTGGACAAGGACAGTATACCGTACATACATTTCCAAAGGAGGGACAGAAATCTCTCGGACTAAATCTAAAATATCTTAAACTATGTTCCGAAGATGAATGGAGGTCTTACGGGCTTGGAGCGACATGAGGGCGAGTCATTAATGACATAATTTTCATTTTTGGGTGAACTAACCCTTTAACGTCAATCGTATCTGGGTACAGGAAATGTATTGAAATTTAAAAGACATTCTCAGTTCTGAATGGTCCACCGGATTATTTGTCACCGTGTTTGTTCTGTAAATTCGTCATTTGTGATTTCAGGGTTTGCGTAACACCTTAATGCAAAGCAAGTCTTATAGAGCAGAGATAATATTCAATTAGAAATGTACAAATCTCCAGAAGTCTTGGAGACTGGGTGTTTCAATCCCATATACTGTACACTTTTTGGTCATTTTCAGATCAATTTGTATAAAGTGTAGAACGAGGATGGCTCACAAACAAGTATAGTATATTTGTAAACAGTAATTTCATTGTTAGTGGTGTTGATTTTGGGCTGTTTTCTAGTCTTGTGCTGACAGTGTTTCATTATGCTGTGTATAGGGCTGACAGCCAATTACTTGCAAGGCTCGAACCAGCAACCGGAGCCCAGTCTCACTGCTTTAGCCACTGTCACCCCACCCACAAGTATCTAACCCACAACTGCTGCAACCAGCGAGCTGTTATTGGTAGTACAACAGCAAAGACCCCTGTGAGGAACAACAATGTTGCTCATGTGTTTGACTGAAATGACACCCATATGTTGTTCGTTCACAACACTTTATTGGTTGTATGAGTGGTATCATCCATCACAGAACGTGTCTTTCATGACTAAGCCTGTTTAATGCCCTTTGTGTAGTGACAGTACAAGAAGTGTGACTTACGCACGCAGCCATTCTTCCAGGTATATCCAGGGAGGCAGTCCTCACACTTCTGGCCCATGGTGCCCTCGCGACACTGGCAGAAGCCGGTGTCATTGCAGCGGGCATGGAAGGAGCCCAGCTGATTACAGTTACACTCTGTGTATAGAAAATATTTTCAATATTCACCAATTATAGATTATTTGTGCTGAAACCCTGAAACGGAAGGCTATGGTTTAGTTGAAAGGTATTCTTTCTTTTTCAGATTTCATTGAACTATGAAAACATACTGTAACTTTCAGAACTTCACAAATGGCTTTTTTTATACTTACTAACATTACTGCATATTCTTCAGAAGGATAGTTAGAAACTATTTTTGACAATGTTCCTGATAGGGCAGTAAAACTATATTGGACACGACAGCAAACCTACTGCTTTTTAAGTAAGAGTGACACATCCCATTTCACATGAGAGTGTTTATATTAAAGTATTAAAAGCACAGCAGAAAAAATTGCCTGTTTAATAACTCCTAAGGGTCACGAAAATATGTGGAAAATGGTCATAAATATCTCTTTAATTCATATTGAGAAAATGGTACCAAAATATTTCTCAATGTATGTACAGTGTTTCAGAAGTTACAACATTTTGCCTAAAGGAAATATAGCACAGCCTGAAGGCATTTATTCATGTGTTTTGCAGGAGAAATGTACTTCTATGTTTGCGAGTTGTCATGTCAGTTTTATGTGATCAGTGGTTGTTCATCAGTCATGTAAGCAGGGTTTGCTCTATGTATTTACACGGGTAATTTGTCCCTCTGGGCACCTGTCAGTCATAGCACTGTGATTTATGTGTCTGTATTTTTCCAGTAGAGGTCACTGTATCATTATCAGAGTGTTCTGACAGATTGCTTGAGCCGCTCTTGGAACAGTTTAATCAAAAGAACACAAAGAAAAATGAGGGAAAAATTTCTGATTGTATTCCTCCTGCCTCCCATTTAAAGTCAACATCTTATAGTGAATGAAAAACTATCTTCATAATCTTTTGTCAAAATGTTATAACTGTTTGATGCCCGCGAATGCATTTAAATTACTTCTCATCTGACATCAAAAATCACTCTTTTCAGTTTTACCATGTAACGCCCACTTTTCAAAATCCAATCAATTTCCATCCTAGATTTAGTTTTACTGTGAAATTTTGCATTACTTAAGTAAAATGGGTTGCAAATGGCATTTCATGTTGACTTTTAAGAAAGATTATGCACAGAAGCATATCTTTTTTATTATTATTATTATAGTCTACATATATGGATACAGTTCTAAGCTGAAAGGTTGAAAATGCAAGTTGTTTAGTTTCCTAGATCTTCAGTAAAATGAAGACAGAAGTCAGGGAAAAGATTTCTTCTGTGTCCATAGTAAAGGCTGTAAGATGAATGAGAGGGGTGGTCTGCATGATATTACTATATTTAAATCTATACTTCCATTAGACTTCAGTTGGTCAGAAATTGTCACATGTAGTATGGCAAGGTGGTGGCAGACCAAATGTGGGACCGTATGGGCATAAGGAAAGATTTCTCAACCTTTCCATAATATCATTTGGTCAGAAAGGACAATTTCTGCGCAGCATGGTGTTAGTGCATCAGGGGGACAGTGAAACGGGTTGGCGTGGAGTGATATCTGACTGACCTATGCAAACATTCTCATCGTCCAGCTCGGAGGAAGCATTCCGGAAGTATCCGAGGCGGCAGTGCTGACAGTTCTGCCCTCTAGTGTTGTGTTTGCAGCTCACACAAGTCACAATGTTGATGAAATCAATGTAACTGCAGCGATTTGAGTGACCATTGCACTCGCAGTCTAATGGAGAAAGAGTAGATAGGTGTTAGTCCGTGGATCAGGGAACGAGGGAGAGGAAGGGAAAAGGACACCAGAAACTCATGGATGAGAGGGCATGGGAATGAGTGGCGTGTAGATGCTGAGGAGACTATAAACTAGGTCTATTCTGGTGAGACTGACACTTATTTAACGCAACCTCAAAAATAATGTGAATTAGATTAAAGCCCTATTAACCAGTTGACCCTTCGCAAAGCCCTACTTAAAACATTACAGTAATCCTACCCTAACAACTGTTCCTCAGAGAAGCTGCTGCTTGCTCTCTGATAATGTAAGTCTATGGAAGATGTTCTTGGATAGTTGTGAACACAATTTAACAGATATTTACAAAAGAACGGGCTGACTAAACTGTGCCACTCTAATTCCCATACAAACTTGTATGTTGCATTTGCTTGAAGGCTATTAACTGACATATTGATATACTATAAAGAGTTGACAGTTTCACAGAATAGGCTTTGTAGAAACATTAGGTACAGTTGGGTTCTCTTGTGCTAATCTTATCACTTGTAATCACTCCTAAATAAGGCTTTTCTCTTTTTATTTGACTGTTACAATCATTTGATTCTGATTCACTCTTTTCAGCTTTTCATCATGTTACTGTGTAATTTAACAACTTCTTAAATCTGCTTATAAAAATGTTTTGCTGTGCCATAATTCATTCCAGCCCACCTAGGAATAACATAATTGTTTGCCACTTTGTGAACTAATTATACTGAAAATGAAACTGTTCATGGCAATCTCCAGATCATTCCTATGAGACCTGTAAAGCTTGTCCGAGTCAGCAACAGTAAACCACTAATGTGGGCGGAGCTGTGGATCAAGCATGGGCAGTGACTGCTTTCCTTATAGCCTCATTTTTACTTTTTAATTTCTGTTTATGCATTGGTATTTTATGTACAACTGTAATTATTTGTTTATTCTAAACTATTTGATTTCAATTAATTTATAAGTATTTTAAAATATATTGTGGCACCTTTCCAGTTTCATCATGTAATTTAAAGTTAAAGTTAAAGGGGTCATATAATGGTACATGCACTTTTACAAGTTGATTGTACTGAAATGTGTGTTGGCAGTGCCTGTACACAACCATCATAAAATGGTAAAAATCCATCCAGTGTTTTTTTTTTTATCTCCTTATATGTTTTCCCGTCTCAAATCAAGCCGTTCGACCTTGTGACGTCACACGCTCGGAAGCCCCTCCCACGATTGTTGATTGATAGGCGCGTTTCAACACAGACCCGCCCTCGCTCGTGAGAGCTGTCAATCATAGTCTGCGCGGACCGGCGCGGTCATTGTTGATGTGCCGGAGCACTGTTTATGAGCAGAATGGCGTCTAAGCGATTGTGGTGTTCTGTTCGTGGGTGTAATAACGAACACAGTCATTTTAATGTTCCTAAATCCGAACCGCTGAAGACGCAGTGGCTGAGTTTGTTTTCGAAGAGAATATTTCCCACGAGCAACGTCAATGCTCTCATGTTTGCGCGCATCATTTCTCACCAGACTGCTTTATAAACGAGGGTCAGTATAAAGCTGGTTTTGCTTAGAAGCTGCTCATGAAAAAAGCATCGGTACCAGATATTCGTGTTCCTGCTGAACCTCTAGAACAACTGAAGTGAGTGTAACGTTTTATTAAACTTTATAATAATATTTATATTAATCTTTGCAAATCGCTAGCTGCACGCTTCACAATGAATGCGTCTAAGGTTTACACTCAGGGTACATTACGGCATGTTTTCTATGTCTGATGTTCTCAATAATTCATAATCCCACGTTTATACTGAACAACGCTTTATGGTTATTGTGTTATTGTGTTACAAACGATGTACACACAGAACAGAGAGGCGGGGTGAGCAAAGCTCATTATCATTTAAAGTCATATGCACTGAAACGGCGTGCTGAAAACAGAGCTGTTTTTGACCAGGTAAAATAAGTGTTTTCTTACAATACTAATGAGAATTTTTAATTAAAGTATATTACAAACTTTTAATTTAGACCCTAAAGAATCATACTAGCTTGTACAAAAATGGCATTATATGACCCCTTTAAGTAGTAAATAGTTCTTCTGTGGGTCTATTAACCGTAACTAGTAGTGTCTAGTTTAACTGTATTTTCTCTGAGTCACTTGGTGAGGCTCAATATTCAGATATATAGTAAAATAAAATACAAATTGTGCTGAATTTGTTTCTCAGTAGATTCCATTTGAAAGATGTTTGGGGTGTTTTTACATAACAGTTTAGACTGACTAAATAGTAGGAAGTTATAGAGTAAATGAATCCACCTGTAGGGCATAATTAAGATAGTTTAAGCAGACATTAATATGACACTGATAAACATTGATAATGAGCTGTAGTGTTTGAGAAGCTGTTCTTTTTCGATTCTTTGCTGTTTAAACACTTGGGCCTTTGAATAATTGATATGATGTTTTAAAGATGCTGGCGACGTGGTGTCCTGCTGTGTCACAGTCAGCCAAGCAGTGGGATGGGGGGCAAGAGCAGCTAATTAAATATAAATGCTCAATTACTCCCCAGATTGGTGAAGGGATGGAGCGATGTTTCACAAACGATCTTGCATCTTCAGCAGACAGCTGTCTAACACTCGAAGAGTGAAAATGCGAAGTAGCTAGTTTCTAGAAGAGGACGCTTTTGAATTATACAGCCTGGGGGAGATCTTTCTGTTTTCTAGCAAACACAATACATCATGAGCGGCTTACCTTATGAGACAAAGCAAAAAACAAAACATGTGAGCACAAAGAAAGGAGAGAGACAAGAAAGAGCGACATGGAAGAGAGGAAATGAATAACATTTAGGCAGCAATTTTTCCACAGTTTCCATATTAGTGTCTGTCCACATTCTAGAAAACAGAAATCAAAACTGAATCATCCTTTGATAAGCATTGCCTAGAGGAGCGCTAATGCATATAAATAGATCATTCACATAAAATGTCATTGAAACCCTGAAAATAACGCAGTCTTGATTTAAAGCATCGCCTTACCTTGAAATCGGATGTACGCTATCCTTGACAACTGCGTTTTTGGCCCTCCGGGGATCAAAATCCTTGCAACAACTTTGGAATAAAAGCAACATTACGCTCTTTGTTGGATATTTGTTGGCTAACACTGCTGCATTATTGGAACAAATCACTCAAGAAATGTGGAACGGTTCACCGTAAGAGCGGAAAATGTGAAAGCAGATACACTGAAATGATGCTACTGTTATTTAAGAAAACTGATGATGTACACACAACAGCCTAAAACTAGAGAAAACTAGGGTTTAAAGTTTCTTTCTGTGGATCTAATGGCTGCTAAACCAATCGATACAGTACAAGCTGTAAATGTTCTTCACTAACAGATACTCCATCTCATCCACAGCACCAGTATAGGTACCATGCAGTCAAGCAGAAATGCATTTTCAGACCGCAGTCATTAAATGCTGTGTCAGATGAGTGCAGTGTCTGTTCGTTTCATTTCTATAGTCAAGCTACACAAAATACACACACTCAACTACAAATGCTGCATACCTTTTTTCTCATACTCTTTCTTTTCATAATCTTTTTCTTTCTTTTTCTCCTTCTCTTTCTTTTTCTCTTTGGCTTCCCTGCTTTTTTCGGTTTCCTCAGCCTCGTTGTTCCTCTTAATGTCTGCAGTTACGGTTTACACCATGAGAAATCATGAGCATTTGAAGAAGAACTCGTCAGTCATCACATATCATTATTTATCATCATTTTATTCATTGTTTAAATCTGATAACCATACATTTGTTTTATAAAGACAAAGTATTTTTTGTTTCAGTCATAAGCTTGGTGTGTGTGTGGTTGATGTGGTTTTTCTTTTCTTTTTTTAAAGTTATTTAATCAGCATGTACGCATTAAATTGATCAAAAGTGACAGTGAAGACATTTATACTATTACAAAAGTTTATTTCAAATAAATGCTGTTTTTCCCCCCCAAAAAAATCCTGGATCAAAGAATCCTGAAATAAAGCATCACAGATTTTCACAAAAATATTAAGCAGCACAACTGTTTACCTTCACAGGAATTAAATTCTTTTTAAAATATAGTAAAATAGAAAACAGTTATTTTAAATTGTAATAATACATGTAATTTCAAAATATTACTGTTATTACTGTATTTAAAAAAAAAAAAATAAACACAGCCTTTTTTGAGCTTTAGAGATTTCTTTTTAAAAACATAAAAATTCTTACCGACCCCAAACTTTTTGAATGTTTCAGAAACCACAAAAGTTCAAAACAAGTTTGACAGAACGCATATTTGATGCCAAATAGAAAAGTTGAATACAGCCTGCCTGAACGCTTTATGTCAGGATCAGTATCGACAAAACACATACTGTCATTATTTATTACTCAAGATATATAAAATGTTGTTTAAAAAGTATTTTGAGATACAGTAGTTCACCCGAAATTACAATTATCATCATTTACTCATCCTCTTGTCAATCAGAACTCATATGACTTCCTTTCTTCAGTGGAAAAGGAATCTTTTTTTTCTTTATAGAATATTCACCAAAAATATTTATTTATTTCATATAATGAAAGACAATTGTAGTGAGGCTGTCATTTTGCCTAACATCACCTATTGTGTTTCACAGAAGAAAGTAAGTCATACAAGTTTTGAACAAGATGAGGGTGAGTAAATGATGACAGAATTTTCATTTATTATTCCTTTAAGAGAGTTAAGCCTTTGGCTAACTCTTCTGAAGGCAATTTGGGTTGTGTAACACAGACTTCAACAGATTGTGCCTCAAAAATTACCTTTTGAAGCTCATTTAAAAGTGTATCGTGTAATTGCCACTTTAGCAGGAAATATACTTGTCAGAATTGCTGTGGGTACCTGGGGCTTCTGCATCTTTATCTTTCTTCTCTGGGTTTGTTGCTGTTTTCTCCTTCCTGGTCTCAGCAAGAGGAACTTCACTGTTTTCTCCTACTTCAGATGAAGGTTTACTGGCAGGA